AATGTACCTCCCAGAGGTTAATTTTGTGTTATCCTTGCGATAACATGATGTGCAAGGTGCTCGACAAAATTGTGCAACGAATTACTTTAACGATTTTCAGCAAACATTCATAACCATAACCTGGCACATGCTTCCTCCACGAAGCCCGCGGCAACACTGACGCGTCCCAGGCCAGTGAGACGTCCCATAGCTCCTTGGGACGACACCAGCCCGGATACGACCCTAGAACACCAGGCCAAACACCAGGCCGGACACCAGGCCAGACACCAGGCCAGACACCAGGCCGGACACCAGGCCAGACACCAGGCCGGACACCAGGCCAGACACCAGGCCGGACACTAGGCCGGACACCAGGCCAGACACTAGGCCAGACACCAGGCCGGACACCAGACCGGACACCAGGCCAAACACCAGGCCAGACACTATTATACTCATCAGTATGAAGAGCTACCACGAACGTCACACGAAGACCCAACACAATCACCAACACGTTGACAAAAGGTGTTAATTGAACTGAATTGGGTGACGCTATTAGCTGTGCACTCACAGGTAGTGAGGGAGGCGTGAGGGAAGGTGTCAGGTGAGCACTATCTCATGAGTGATGATGATGAGAGCGGGCACACCTGGGCCTCCGCCACCTCACCTTCATCCTCACCTCATTCTCTAGCAACACCAATTTGCTAACCACTTGAGTGTTTCGTTTAGAATGATAGGCTTTATGTTTACGTTTATAGGTACGTTTACTGGGATGTGTGTCAGCCTGGAGTGTGCTGGGATGTTGGTCAGCCTGGAGTGTGCTGGGATGTGTGTCAGCTGGAGGCCCACTCCGACCAGTAGACAAGCTATCCGCACTGCAAATGGGACTACCTGCATTGGGAGGGGCTACCTACACTTCTATGAGGACTACCCACACTGGGAGGGGCTACCTACACTTGTATGAGAACTACCCACACTGGGAGGGGCTACCTACACTTCTATGAGGACTACCCACACTGGGAGGGGCTACCTACACTTCTATGAGGACTACCCACACTGGGAGGGGCTACCTACACTTCTATGAGGACTACCCACACTGGGAGGGGCTACCTACACTTCTATGAGGACTACCCACATTGGGAGAGGGCTAGCTACACTTCTATGAGAACTACCCACATTGGGAGAGGGCTAACTACACTGTGAGAGGAGTACAACCTGCACTGAAAGAGGCGCTGCTTTCATTAGGAGGGGAATTACCTACACCAGGAACTATCTACACTGGGAGTGTGGTGGGGGGGGGTACTACCCACACTGGAAGGGGGCTTTGTGATTTTGTTCCTGGAATGGTTAAACTTTTCCCACTCTGGATCCATACCTGCTAATGTATTTCTTCGCTTCATAAGATGAATAAAACATTCTCTTTGACCAAAGTGCAGTTGTGTATATGTCTTAACACTCTCACTGTTCACTGTGGTTGTGCTGTTGTTGCTGTGGTGTGTGACGTAAATATTAGTCAAGGTTGGGGGGAGGAGGGGGGAGGGAGATGGGGGTGCGGGGCGGGGTGGGGGGGGTATGGGGTGTGTTCTTGGGAAAGTGGGAAGGGTGAGGGGGGGGGGCAAGGGCAGCCACGAGTTCTTTGTTCAATCCGTTGTGGTTAGCCTTCATGGCTCGCTCAGACGCCAGAACCCTGTCACTCAGACGCCAGAACCCTGTCACTCAGACGCCAGAACCTCGTCACTCAGACGCCAGAACCTCATCACTCAGATGCCAGACCCCCGTCACTCAGACGCCAGAACCTCGTCACTCAGACGCCAGAACCCCGTCACTCAGACGCCAGAACCTCGTCACTCAGACGCCAGAACCTCGTCACTCAGACGCCAGAACCCCGTCACTCAGATGCCAGACCCCCGTCACTCAGACGCCAGAACCTCGTCACTCAGATGCCAGACCCCCGTCACTCAGACGCCAGAACCTCGTCACTCAGACGCCAGAACCCCGTCACTCAGACGCCAGAACCCTGTCACTCAGACGCCAGAACCCCGTCACTTAGACGCCAGAACCCCGTCACTCAGACGCCAGAACCCTGTCACTCAGACGCCAGACCCCCGTCACTCAGGCGCCAGAACCACCTCACATAACACTCACTGACGCATACAACTGTCATTTGTCAGTGAAGGTCCAACCTTGGAAAAGCGCCACCTCACTGCGACCACCTTGTGCTGCTGGAGTGTCGGTAAAGAGGCTGTGGTTACACCCACCTCACACCCTCATACGTTACAGAAGTTCTCGCGGCCACTTTCAGTGCAACCCTTTGCTTGCACACTAGTACATGTTATGTATTAAATTCACTTGCATACAGTTGCGACAAGCATTGAATATGATTACTGTAATAATTGTACTACATCAGTGATTGTTTCTTGATTACTGTGAAGGGGAGTTATCAGCAAGTATCGTGTGTACATCAATTGTTCTTGATGCTTAGTTGACAGGTGTGGCCAGGTCCCCAGGTGTGGCCAGGTCCCCAGGTGTGGCCAGGTCCCCAGGTGTGGCCAGGTCTCCAGGTGTGGCCAGGTCCCCAGGTGTGGCCAGGTCCCCAGGTGTGGCTAGGTCTCCAGGTGTGGCCAGGTCCCCAGGTGTGGCTAGGTCTCCAGGTGTGGCCAGGTCCCCAGGTGTGGCTAGGTCTCCAGGTGTGGCCAGGTCCCCAGGTGTGGCTAGGTCTCCAGGTGTGGCCAGGTGTTACCTATGTATTATGCTTGTATGTCTGCTGTATCAGATGGGCCATTGGGCTACATCGGATGGGCCAATTGGGTGCATCTGATGGGCCAATGGGCCTTCTGCGTTGTCCAAGTATTGTACCTCACCTTACTTCACCACTCTCTCCTGCCTATTTATACCCATCACTCGATCTGTAAAATGACCTTCTGAAGATGTATTTAATATACGAAAGTACTTAAGGAAATTTCCTGTTTCATTTTTCCTTCGTGGTCTGACATTGTCACATTCTTAATCACGTGTTTATTTTCGTGATATACACACATATATATATATATATATATGTCGTACCTAGTAGCCAGAACGCACTTCTCAGCCTACTATGCAAGGCCCGATTTGCCTAATAAGCCAAGTTTTCCTGAATTAATATATTTTCTCTAATTTTTTTCTTATGAAATGATAAAGCTGCCCATTTCATTATATATGAGGTAAATTTTTTTTATTGGAGTTAAAATTAACCTAGATATATGACCAAACCTAACCAACCCTACCTAACCTAACCTATCTTTATAGGTTAGGTAGCCGAAAAAGTTAGGTTAGGTAGTCGGAACAATTAATTCATGAAAACTTGGCTTATTAGGCAAATTGGGCCTTGCATAGTAGGCTGAGAAGTGCGTTCTGGCTACTAGGTACGACACACACACACACACACACACATATATATATATATATATATATATATATATATATATATATATATATATATATATATGCGAACAAGCCTGAATGAGTTTTCAGTTGCATATATATATATATATATATATATATATATATATATATATATATATATATATATATATATATATATATATATATATATATATATATAGTTTCACCTCACTATACGATTAAATTGTCGTTAATTGTAGAGTGCGCTGAAGTATAAGGTCGAGGTGATTGCTGTCTAACTTCAGTTAATGGTCATCTAACGAGACTAATATCTTCCCTCAGGAGGGGCATTAAGCATCACTGAATGTTTGATGTTAAATTCATTTGAGTGTTAATTACTGAGACCAGCACTTGGGTGTATCCTCAAGTGTGTGATGTGTCCTACAGTCACTGGTGTGTGTTAGTGTGACGTGTCCTGCAGTCACTGGTGTGTGTTAGTGTGACGTGTCCTACAGTCACTGGTGTGTGTGTTAGTGTGACGTGTCCTACAGTCACTGGTGTGTGTTAGTGTGATGTGTCCTACAGTCACTGGTGTGTGTTAGTGTGATGTGTCCTGCAGTCACTGGTGTGTGTGTTAGTGTGACGTGTCCTACAGTCACTGGTGTGTGTTAGTGTGATGTGTCCTACAGTCACTGGTGTGTGTTAGTGTGATGTGTCCTACAGTCACTGGTGTGTGTTAGTGTGACGTGTCCTACAGTCACTGGTGTGTGTTAGTGTGATGTGTCCTGCAGTCACTGGTGTGTGTTAGTGTGATGTGTCCTGCAGTCACTGGTGTGTGTGTTAGTGTGACGTGTCCTACAGTCACTGGTGTGTGTTAGTGTGACGTGTCCTACAGTCACTGGTGTGTGTTAGTGTGATGTGTCCTGCAGTCACTGGTGTGTGTTAGTGTGATGTCCTTTACAATGTCCTGACATATTCCGGAGTGCACAACCTCCACAGTTGTACTTTATTGATATACTACGTTAGTAGACTTCAGAGTGTCACAGGTTATTTTCTTTTCCATACTGAGGGAAGCCGTACGAGGTTTGTTATAATAAATGATGGAACAAACCCTTTCTAATATATCCCGTATCGCACTTTCATCTTTGTTATTGGCATGAGTAAATGTCTTGTTATAATACACTGTAATGTGTTTCCTTGGCGGGCCCATTATCCCGTGTGTGACGGTGACTTAGCCAGCTCGTCATCTTAGAGTATTAGTTGATCACTAATCCACCATTGTTGATCTACAGTTGATCACTATATAGACGTCTTGGACTTAATTTGCAAGGAGGAATTAAGCAACGGTGTTTGCTGGGCACACATGTTGCATGTTCTGAGGGAGAGAAAATGGGAGGGAGGAAGGGAGAGAGAATTAGTGAAAGGGGTGGGGTGGGGGGAGAGGAAATTTTACAAATATATTTCCAAATTTGTAGTAAAATTGTTATATGCAGTCCTCCATGTGGGTATCACCGTTCACTTTGTGTTCCATCCTTTCCCTCTTGCAAGCTCCCTCCTCTCCTCCATCACATGCTGGAGATGCTCACTACTCTCTCATCTCCAACAGCTGCTGGAGATGCTCACTACTCTCTCATCTCCAACAGCTGCTGGAGATGCTGCACGTGCCATTGCTGCACGGAGGAGTGCAGGAGGTGCTGCTGTTCACCAGCTTCACCACCTCCACCGCTGCCTCCTTCACCCTCGCCTGCTTCCTGCTCGCCCTCTGCTCTGGCCTCCTCGAGATGCTGCGACTCCTAACGTGAGTATACGGAGAGTGAGGTGGGTGGTAGACGGCTGTGTGGGGCGAGGGACGGGGCAACACTCACTTCTATGTGAAGTGAGTGGAGATGAGTATGGCGTGTACAGTACTGTATTAACTTTTGTCTCTAGCGCACATGATCTATTAATAATGGCATCAATAATACACAACCAATATATACAAGTACTGCTATATATACCTCAAACGTGTACGTATACCCCTCAGATAATATACACCTGCCTCTGCCTCTGTTTTTCTACACTATACATGTGCCTCTGACTGATGTTCTACACTGTGCATGTATATGTACAGTACAGGTGTACAGTTAGTTTTTAGTTAGTTTAGTTCATTTATTATGCACCCCATACCCATCTTGTGGGTGGTAGTGGAAAGGGTTACAGAGGCACATAATGGGCTCAGGGACTGAACCCCACAATTCATTTAGCTAAGCAAGTTACAATCTTGATGAGCTAGTTACAAAATTCAGTATAAGTCGTCACATCAACAATGGGTTCGAGATCGACCACAAGTACAGTTTCTAAATTAAGCAACTGACATATGTGGAGAGCTAGTGTCACAATTGATATGTTTGTCCTGCACACCGCCCCCCATCCAGTGGGCAGCGGTGGATAGGATACAATCACTTAGTTACTACCTACAGTTAGCAAACTGGGGATATTTGGCTAAAATTTCTGGTAGCAGATCATTTTGAATTAAATATTTACACATCGCTGGAACATTGGTTATAGAATTGTCTCTAAATTCACGTATCTTTTCGCACTCCATCACATAGTGACGGAGGGTGTGCGAATAATTTTGTTGACACAGTTTACATTTGGTCAGGTCTACATCGGCAGATAATGAGAATTCCCAGAGATACTTGTAACCGAGTCTAAGCCGAGCAGTATAGTAACATCTTGAAGTCTGCTGATTTTATTGGATGATCCATAGATGTGTGGCTCCTCTTGCATGATAGTATGATGATAGATGGAATTACCCAAGGAACACCCAGAAGAGACCAGAAGCCCAAGGAACAGTTTGACAGGCCATTTAACATGGATAGTACACAAACAGTGAGACATAGCTGGAAACTAAGTACCCAAATGAGTCATGGAGACATTAGAAATAATTTATTCAGTGTCATTGTAGTGAACAATTGGAATGCACTAAGGAGCGTAGTGTTGGAGACATAGTCATTGCACAGATTTTATTATAGATATGACAGATCTCAATAGGCTCTGGAACTTATACACAAAGTCAGTTAAATGTTTAGAGGTGGGACACAAGAGCCGTGGTTTATCCCTCGAAAATACAACTAGGTGAGTACATGTATAATGTGGGTCATGTATGGCGAAGAACGTTAATCATTTGGTCGTTGTAGAACATCAGACTCCCGCACAGCGTAGAACATATTACCATGGTAACACTTCTTGTTATTGATTGTAGTCCAAGAGCAATTGTGACTGACGTGTAGTTACAAGTCAATTTACCGCCATCAGTGACCAGTGACGTGTCACTGAGGCGTCTCACTGGCTGTACACTGAGGTAATACCAATGTTTCTCTATAAGGCTAACCTATCAATACGTAAATGTGTCACAAATTCCTAGCACAAATATTAGGAGGATTCTGTCACATGCATTAACTAGGACTGGTTTAGTATGTGACAGTCTGGGTTAAAGTCAGTGTTATATAATTCAGTAAATACTTCAAATCCAGGTTAATATTGCAGGTGGTGGGTGGAGAGGCGGTACACGGGTGAGGAGCAGGGCGCCCCACGCCAGGACGCCTGCGCCTGTAAACACTGTACAAGCCTAACCATACCGTAAGTAGTAGTCCCTCGCATCGTCTCTTCTTCTTGAGAAGATCCCACATTTTATGTGGGATCTTATCTAACTATTGGTTCTTCATATACTGCTGAAGCCTGACTCCCTGTTGGTTACAACTGTTCTCTTGTAAGCTGCTTAAAATACTTATTTATACATTATTGCATGTATTCTTCTCCAACCCTGCATGTAGTCTTCTCCAACCCTGCATGTAGTCTTCTCCAACCCTGCATGTAGTCTTCTCCAACCCTGCATATATTCTTCTCCAACCCTGCATGTAGTCTTCTCCAACCCTGCATGTAGTCTTCTCCAACCCTGCATGTATTCTTCTCCAACCCTGCATGTAGTCTTCTCCAACCCTGCATGTAGTCTTCTCCAACCCTGCATGTAGTCTTCTCCAACCCTGCATGTATTCTTCTCCAACCCTGCATGTAGTCTTCTCCAACCCTGCATGTATTCTTCTCCAACCCTGCATGTAGTCTTCTCCAACCCTGCATGTAGTCTTCTCCAACCCTGCATGTAGTCTTCTCCAACCCTGCATGTATTCTTCTCCAACCCTGCATGTAGTCTTCTCCAACCCTGCATGTAGTCTTCTCCAACCCTGCATGTAGTCTTCTCCAACCCTGCATGTGGTCTTCTCCAACCCTGCATGTATTCTTCTCCAACCCTGCATGTAGTCTTCTCCAACCCTGCATGTATTCTTCTCCAACCCTGCATGTAGTCTTCTCCAACCCTGCATATATTCTTCTCCAACCCTGCATGTAGTCTTCTCCAACCCTGCATGTAGTCTTCTCCAACCCTGCATGTAGTCTTCTCCAACCCTGTCTTCTCCAACCCTGCATGTAGTCTTCTCCAACCCTGCATGTGTCTTCTCCAACCCTGCATGTCTTCTCCAACCCTGCATGTAGTCTTCTCCAACCCTGCTTCTTCTCCAACCCTGCATGTATTCTTCTCCAACCCTGCATGTAGTCTTCTCCAACCCTGCATATATTCTTCTTCTTCTCCAACCCTGCATGTAGTCTTCTCCAACCCTGCATGTAGTCTTCTCCAACCCTGCATGTAGTCTTCTCCAACCCTGCATGTAGTCTTCTCCAACCCTGCATGTAGTCTTCTCCAACCCTGCATGTAGTCTTCTCCAACCCTGCATGTAGTCTTCTCCAACCCTGCATGTAGTCTTCTCCAACCCTGCATGTAGTCTTCTCCAACCCTGCATGTAGTCTTCTCCAACCCTGCATGTAGTCTTCTCCAACCCTGCATGTAGTCTTCTCCAACCCTGCATGTAGTCTTCTCCAACCCTGCATGTAGTCTTCTCCAACCCTGCATGTATTCTTCTCCAACCCTGCATGTAGTCTTCTCCAACCCTGCATGTAGTCTTCTCCAACCCTGCATGTAGTCTTCTCCAACCCTGCATGTAGTCTTCTCCAACCCTGCATGTAGTCTTCTCCAACCCTGCATGTAGTCTTCTCCACCCTGCATGTAGTCTTCTCCAACCCTGCATGTAGTCTTCTCCAACCCTGCATGTAGTCTTCTCCAACCCTGCATGTAGTCTTCTCCAACCCTGCATGTAGTCTTCTCCAACCCTGCATGTAGTCTTCTCCAACCCTGCATGTAGTCTTCTCCAACCCTGCATGTAGTCTTCTCCAACCCTGCATGTAGTCTTCTCCAACCCTGCATGTAGTCTTCTCCAACCCTGCATGTAGTCTTCTCCAACCCTGCATGTAGTCTTCTCCAACCCTGCATGTAGTCTTCTCCAACCCTGCATGTAGTCTTCTCCAACCCTGCATGTAGTCTTCTCCAACCCTGCATGTAGTCTTCTCCAACCCTGCATGTAGTCTTCTCCAACCCTGCATGTAGTCTTCTCCAACCCTGCATGTAGTCTTCTCCAACCCTGCATGTAGTCTTCTCCAACCCTGCATGTAGTCTTCTCCAACCCTGCATGTAGTCTTCTCCAACCCTGCATGTAGTCTTCTCCAACCCTGCATGTAGTCTTCTCCAACCCTGCATGTAGTCTTCTCCAACCCTGCATGTAGTCTTCTCCAACCCTGCATGTAGTCTTCTCCAACCCTGCATGTAGTCTTCTCCAACCCTGCATGTAGTCTTCTCCAACCCTGCATGTAGTCTTCTCCAACCCTGCATGTAGTCTTCTCCAACCCTGCATGTAGTCTTCTCCAACCCTGCATGTAGTCTTCTCCAACCCTGCATGTAGTCTTCTCCAACCCTGCATGTAGTCTTCTCCAACCCTGCATGTAGTCTTCTCCAACCCTGCATGTAGTCTTCTCCAACCCTGCATGTAGTCTTCTCCAACCCTGCATGTAGTCTTCTCCAACCCTGCATGTAGTCTTCTCCAACCCATCCTCCTGTTTAGATAGTACTTTTTGGAACAATGTGCACCATATTATAAACAGTGACGTACTAAGCAATTAGTAGAACTTTGTACCATTCACTTTATAGTTCGAAAAAATGAAGCTAAAATCAAACTTAATTATTCCTAGGCTTAGTATAGTACACATTTGTACTATATTAAGCCTCAGATAGCATGTATTAGGCCTACCAATCGACTTTTGGATGGTTCAGAACAGACCGAAACGTCTTCGTCCCTTCGTTTTCTAGTGTGTGGATTGGTCAACATACTTCAAGCACGTTATTGTGACTCATCGCCTGCATATTAGGCCTAGGAAGGTTAGATTAGGTTAGTTTAGTTTATCTTTGCAACATAAGTAGAAAAATCATTTTCCGGTTTGTCCAAATTCAATAATAAAGATTTCTTCTTTATTTGTGTTGTACGTCGGAATATGTACTATGGTCCTCATCCTTCCTATAAGTTCTACCAAAACAGGAGGATGGGCTGTCTTCTCAAACTGATTTTGTTTTACTGTAATTTCATATTGTTTAACTTGCATGATCTGCTACAGGCACGCAAGATTTATATTGTTTAGTATGAGACCTTGTTTGTGGTCATGACCCTTAACACCTAGAGTGTCACCCACCTGGTGGATGGATACTGTTTGAAACGTAGATGGAAACAGCATATAATAGCTCACACTTGAGTGAAGTGGCTACTGTGGCTCAGAGAGAGGGTCATAATAATATGGTCAAGGAAGTGTGGGCTGAACTTAAAAAAGTTGGTGAGTTCCTCCAAAATCTGGGGCAGAGAATCGAGTCCATCGAGGCTAAATTAAACGTTCAGGAGGTCAAGGAAAATCACAAAACGGTGAAGGATAGTCAGGATATAGTGGTTGAGGACAAAAATGAAATATTGAGTGATGAAATGAAGGAAAGTGAAGTGTGTGTGAATGATGGTAGTCGTAGTGAAAGGAAGAGCCCTATAATTACACATAAAATGAAGGAATCATTTGGGCCAATAATGGACATCTCAGGGCTGAAAAAATCTCTTGAGAATCGCAATGTCGCTTTTACTGGTGAACTTGGGAGGAGGTGGGAGATGTTATACAAGGTATGGCTATCATTTAGTGAACTTATTGGGGATGACTTAGGCAATGAATTGATTAATAATGGATCACCCTAGACTGAAAGTGTTGTCATGGAATGTTAATGGTTTGAGAAACAGGGTTACAGATGTTCATTGTTATGTGATGGGAAATGATATTGATGTTGTAGCTCTCCAGGAGACAGGGGATAGGAATGAAGGATTATTGAAATTAAATGGCTATAAAGGGTTTCACCTCTTCGCTGCGAATAACATCAGAGGCACGTCGATTTATGTTAAGAACTCCATACCAGCAGAGTTAGTAGAACCGCCATCAAAAACGCAAGGTATAGAGAGTGTTTGTGTTAAATTATCATTAAGGGAAGGGGAATTTATTGTAGTTAATTTGTATGTATCCAGGAACTGCTTCGACGCTAACTATTTACCTGACTGCATTTATACTAATCCTTCACTGGTCATTGGGGACCTTAATGCTCGGCACACAAGCCTTGGGACAGTGGGTAGTATTAATACTAATGGGGTCAAGTGGTTACAGTTTCTACAAGATCATCCAGATACCTGTCTATTGGGAAACAATGAACCAACTCACATCAGGGGAGGACGGCTTGACTATGCCTGCGTTTTAAACTCTCAGGGGATTATGGGGGAGGCTCGGGTTGTTCGGGAACTACTTAGTGACCACTTTGCCTTGAACGTTGAATTACCACTGGGGAAAAAACAAGTCCACTTTCAAAGGAAAAGGCTAAATATTAAGAAAGATATGAAAAATTATTTTATTCAAAATATGGGAGATTGGTATCAACATTACACGCCGCTCTGCGTTGATAGTTTTTACGAGGACATGGTCGAGAACATAGAGAAATTAGTACAGAGGGAAAATAACGGGGGCAGGGGAAGCAAGACGCACGGACCTAAGAAATTTAAATATTCCAATGATCAGCAAGTCAAGGGATGGGAGAGAATGCTACGGGGTGCGCATAAAGCATGGTTAAAAAATGGAATGAGGGATGAAGAGAAAAATACAATGTTGGAAGTGGCTAGGGAATGCAGTCAGGTGAGGAAGGAGGCGCGGGACAGATACTGGCAAGACTTTGCTCAGGCCATTGGTAATACTAAGAACCTTAAAGACATATGGAGAGCAGTAAATAAAGTCAGGGGTTGTAAGACTAAATTCATTGCTCACTCAGATCCAGGGAAAGTTGCTAATGAGTTAGTAGATAAATGGGCAAGTGCTGCTGGTATGGAGTCCTTACCTGCAGACACGAGAGTCACCATTGAGTCATGGGAAAATATTAGAAATGGAGTAACTTTATGTGCCTTAAATACAAGATCTATAGCATGCACTGAGATAACCCACGATGAGCTACTGGATGCTATAAAAAGTGGCAGCTCCACTGCTCCGGGAAAAGATGGAGTAACGTATGACATACTTAATTATTTAGCCGGTATGAAACCTAATCCCTTACTTGATTTGTTTAATATGAGTTATAGAGAGGGAAAGTTACCAAGAAAATGGAAAGAGGCTGTCATCATTCCTATCCCTAAGTCAAACGGAGGCTACAGACCTGTCTCCTTAATATCCTGCTTTTGTAAAATGATGGAAAGGATTTTGTTAAATAGGCTACTCTACCTTGTAGGTGATAACATGTCCAATAATCTCTTTGGTTTTATCAAAGGCAAAAGTACTGCGGATTGTCTCTTAAAGTGTTTGTCTAATGTGGATGACAATTGTAGAGTTTTTGTTGATCTACAAGGAGCGTTTGATAAAGCCAATGGGGAAGTAATCTTATACGAATTAGCCAATCTGGGAATAACAGGGAGATTGCTACACTGGATAAGGGATTACCTGCAAGGCAGAAAAGGTCAGGTGTATTACCAGGGATACATGTCTGAGGAACGGAGGTTTCAGTTAGGTACCCCACAAGGGGGAGTATTAAGTCCCACCTTATTCAATGTATTAATGAACAGATTAGCATCAGAGATGTATCCTCCAGGGGTCACGACGATCATATATGCTGATGACATTCTTATACAAGGCACTTCTGGGAACAAAATTCAAGATGCTCTTAACATACTTGGTACAACCTGTCACAAGTTAGGCTTAGTTATAAATGCAGATAAAACCAAATACGAGTATAGGAAACGAAGAAATATAACACTTACTCTAAATGGTGTGGAACTGAGCCGTGTACAGAAGTACAAGTATCTGGGCATGTATGTTGGATACACATGTGAGAGTAAAAATGCTGAAATAAATCATATCAGCACCTTATGTAAAGCCCGTCTGCATCCTCTAAAAGCACTGGCTTTTTCTGGTAAAGGTGTTGGGGTACCTATCTTGCGGATGTTATACATAAGCACTGTTCGATCCCTGATAGACTACGCAGCACCCGTATTGTCTTACACAGGCCAAGGCAGAATTCAAAAATAGAGCTGATACAGAACGAGGCTATGAGGATTATTCTTGGATGTCAAAGAAATGCAATGATTGAAATAATGAGAATGGAATTAAATTTACAGAGTGTGTGTGATAGAGTCCGTGACATTAACACTAGAGTATCTATTCGTTTCATGCGGAGAAAAGGAGGGGATAAGCTGTTTGAGAGCGTTCAGACCTGCTTGAGTGACGTACACACTTCCAGGAAACTGAGGGAGACTCGCTATACGAGAGGATTAGCTCATGACCTCAGGGAATACGACGTACTTGACTGCTGTAAACCCTCTCGAAAGTGTAATATGTCTGCTCCCTGGAAAGTACAGAAAATAGACGTCGAAATTGTACCCCTCAAGGTGAAAAAGATTCATCATGAACCGGGACAATTACGGTGTTTGTATGGAAGCATGATATCTCGGTTACCAAGAGGCAACAGTTTACATGTATATTGCGACGGGTCGGTGGCGGAGGATGGCAGGGCAGGGTGTGGTGTCCTAATAAGGGATTATACGGAGTTTGGGACTGTGGACAGGATAATTGAACTCCGGCTTAGTAATTATATATCATCCACACAAGCTGAACTGCAGGCCATTCTGGCGTGTTTGGAGGAAGTACGTCATGACGACAAAAATGTTTTTGTATTTGTCGATAGCCGAGGAGCACTGGAGTCCTTAAACAGTAGAAACCCAGTCTTCATGTCTATAGTGGAGGACTGTAAGAGAAGAATAACTGAGATACAGCTGAAAGGTTATAGTGTGAAATTCATGTGGATTCCATCTCATGTTGGAATAGTGCTCAACGAGGTGGCGGATGACTTGGCCAAACGTGCCACATCAAAACCACAAGTTGACATTGAATGTGAATTCACAATGAGACAAATAAGAAGCAAAATCAGAAATATTCAGGCACAGGCGGGAGTGGAGAGGAGAGAGATAATGTATGAGAGTAGTCAAACCATGCAACACTACATGTATGTGAGTCAAAACACCCATTTCACTTATGGTAAAAGGAGAAATGCTTGGAGTGACTCTGTGTACATGCGGCTCAGGCTTGGGTACAAATATTACTGGGAATATGGGATAGATGTTCATGGTAATGACACGAAGTGTAAACTATGTGGTATGTTAAGGTCTCACACCCTTGCCCATTATATTCTTGATTGTCCGTTGATTAGTGTATATAGAAACACTGAGATAAGGACTGTTCCTGAACAAATAGCCTGGATGTGTCACAACGGAAAGGTTGATGATATTCTTGAGAGATATAAGAATTTTGCACCAAGATTGTAATATTTTGTTGAATTATCTGCAGGTGTCTTGCAAATTGTCTATACAGTATACCTAGGTCATAAAAGTATTTGTGTGTACGTCTGATACCATACTCCTTGTGAGGGAGGAAATGTATATTTTTACCTCTCAGAATGTTTGGTAATATGTTTATTTGTGATGTGTGTATATGTATATATTAACACGTTGTACTGAACGGGGTGAGAATAGCTTGAGCTACCTCATCCCTTTGTGTGTATTTTACCTCAATAAACTTATTTCAATTTCAATTTCAATTTCAATGTACAGCGTTCTACTTAGCTGGTAGAACATTGGGATCCAGTGCCTGAACCCAGTACATAATTCTGCAACCTTTCCAGTAACACCCACAGGATGCCAAGGTTCTTAATACACTAGTTAAATTAACTTATTATACATGTAGCGTTACAGGTGAGGGCGAGCGGAAGAACTACGATGCCATCCACGACGACGACATGGGCGCGAGGCCGGCCTCCACCACACCTCTCACCTCACCTGCCTCACAACACTCCCGTCGCACCAGGTCAATATTCTTGACAGTTTTCTATTGTTGGGGACAGGAAGCCTGTATAGATGTTTACTAAATTATCTGTATCATATGCACATTTTTTTAATAATAATAATAATTTTTATTTACAAGAAGGTACAATGGTATTGTGAAATTACATAAGTGTTATTTTTACATTCTTGCAAAGCCACTAATACGCATAGCGTTTCGGGCACGTCCTTATTCTAACATATCAGGTAGGATGAAAAGGTACATTGTATATAGCAAGGTTTTATACCAAATAACCACAATATAAATTGACAGAGGTGATTACTCTGGTAAGGATATATGTCTTAAGAACTAATATTGGGGAAGTGGGTAGTACAAATCCACAAGGGCCTTGACGAGGATTCGAACCCACGTCCGAGAGCATCCCAGACGCTGCCTTAATCAACTGAGCTACGACATGGTATAAGAATTGCAACCAGAAATTCTACTGAAATCTCTAAATTCTACTGATTGTATGAATTCTACTGAATACTCGGAGAGGCTGCAGGATCCAAGTAAATTCAGTAGAATTTCTGGTTGCAATTCTTATACCATGATGTAGTTCAGTCGATTAAGGCAGCGTCTGGGATGCTCTCGGACGTGGGTTCGAATCCTCGTCACGGCCCTTGTGGATTTGTTCATTTGATGCATCATGCTATTGTGATTTCTGTGTGTATTGGGTAGTACAAGATACAGTGTGAGTTTAAAGCACAAGGTAGGAAACTATGGGGGATGAAATTATGTACATTTTGGTTTTACTTTTAAACAGGGCATAGGTTAGACAATTTTTTAATTCATCAGGGAGTGAGTTACAAAGACTGGGTCCTTTTATTTGCATGGAGTGTTTGCACAGATTTAGTTTGACTCTGGGGATGTCAAAGATATATTTATTTATTGTGTGGTGTTCATGGGTTCTATTATATCTAGCAATGTAAGATCAAGATTAACATTTAGAAACAAGGTTTTATACATGTAAAGAGCACATGAGAATGTATTGAGTGAGTGTATGTTGATAAACTCACTCCACTTTGTATTGTTTGCCAAGCTCAAACACTTTGTATCGTTTACTGAGCGCAACACATATCTCTTTACAGGCACATATATTGGGTGTTTGTGGGCTTCCTACACTTTTTAATATATGTGATCGCTACGCTGTTGATGCTCGTAGCCATGACCATGAACATTTACCTTATCATATCCATGGGAGCGGGAGCGGCCGCTGGCAAGATGATCACCATCTGTGTCCGAAGGCGTCTAGCGTATACATGACATGAGGCTGCTGGCTCAGGTGGAAACATGGACCAAGGGGCACTGGCAGGCTTCCATGTTCCACACTTTCCTGATAAAAGTATTTTATCTTTGCAAGCGACATCGTCATACGACCAACTGCAGGTGGACACCGCCAACTTTAGAAGTGATTTGCCCTATGCCTCTACTTCATTTCAAGAGAAAACCCACTTATGAGCAATTATGAAGTTTGTGAAAGCCATATGCATACCATTATTTTTATAAATTGTAATCCTGTGCTGCAGTAATAGTTAATGGCGTGGTGCAGTGTGAAGTGTGTCGTCGGTACAGCCACTCTTCTCTTGTGCAAATCTTAACAATAATCTTTACTTCAGAATGCTTAATAGAATTGTATGTTTAGGTGTCTTTCCATCACCACTGTACTTACATGACCTATATTGTTTGTGACGAATACATTTGATGTAACTGGATGTTTATAATATCTAGGATGACCCACATATTCCATGTAAGACGACCAACATTCAGTTTAAGATAGATCACATCATTATTAAAGTCACGTCTTAATGTGACTTTAAATAGTCCTCTTAATTGACCTAAAATAATCCAGTTAATCCAATGTCAGTACCTGTGAGTATCCTAACTTTGGTAGTACACATGGATATATCCATGTATCACCACAACTAGTTACTGTGAAGTTATGTATGTAATATAGTAAAGATTTACATTGCATTATTTTGTCAGTCTTTAAATTGTTTCTGATATATAATTATTTTATCTATTTTGTATTATAGATTACTATATATGGTTAATGTTATTAGTACAATAACACGTTCAAAGATCTTTTACAACTATTTATTATGATGAGGAAAACAAACTGAAAGTTTTTTTGGTAGTTATCATTAACAAAATATAATCAAGTTACTCTTCAGTGTAACTTCAGTTCAATGCAGTCTTGTGAAAAAATGTACTATTCTAACTCATCAACTGATGGCCTGGTTAGTGTTGAAACATCTTAGGCTACTAACGTAGGAGTAAACATACTCCACACAGACTTAAAATAATCTACTCAAATTAAGATATCCACAGTAATAGACTTAACTTTCATGGTCAAACTAACTTCATAAATATAGCTGACTGAAACATGGCACACAACATAATACTGCAATCTCAATGAATTTATGCTCATAGTTTTTTAGTACAGCATAAAAATGTGGTGCAGGTTAATGGCAGGAGTAAGCATCAGTACTACGGAAAACACATCCCCTGATTTTATTTCAGACTTCATGAAAATTGCAGGGAGGAGGAGGGGGGGGATTAAGATGTTAATATTTCTTAAAAACATGGCACTTTGGCTAACCCAGACTGGCCTAGGATACATAGCCCCCCCCCCCCATGGTTCATGTTAGAAAAGTGGGTGAGGCTTGCCCCATGCATCTGCTTTAGAGACAGACAAACAGACATTCTATTATATAGATATACTGCAGATGTAAATGAGCAAGACTAAAATAAAGAAGAAAAAAATTTTTTGTGGGGAAATTACTTGATGACAAGCATCCATATTTTTTCGTGCCTCCCCCCCCCCCCCCCCCCCCCCCCCTCTTCCCTTGTAATTTAATTTTTTCTAGATAAATCGAATTTTGGATGGGAAATCTGGCGGACATATTTGACCATTGTTGACCATTGACCGTTTGGTAAACGGAGGACTGGAGTTTTGAGAGAGCAGTAAAAGCAGTGTACACTTTACCAACAATACATGCTCACTTAACGTAACTCATGTTCCTCAACCAAAGGTGATCTCAGGCAGGTTTCAAATTTAACATTAGGAAATCCTTTGCAAAAAGTATTACTGTAAATTTACTACAGAGCTGAGAAAAGAATTCAAACTGATAATCAAGTGCTCTTTGTATCGACAAAAGCCACTTAGTTCAGGGGAACTCAAAACCCTCAAGACATTACTCACCTTTAATTAACTAATCAGTTTGACAAAGTGGTCTTTATGTATAAACACTTTGAACTTTCTTCTCTGTAGTACCTAGCATTGCAAAATACAGCTGCTTTGGTTCAGAATATTATTTGTGTTTGCTATTGTTTAATTGTTATAATCAGAACCTTCAGTAATTTTTAACACTGGCTTAAACATATGCTTCTAATTATCTTTAATGCACATACCAGCATAATGCATTTTGATATAAAATTTAAAAAACAAATAATGCATAGCCATTTGCTCTGAAAATAATTAACATTTATATTTTGAAATAAAGATAAATGAAACAAATAGTGATTTTTTATCATATATTAAAAAATAGCGTAGTAAAATATATATATGGCAGAATATATAGAGTATTGCACATTATAGGTTGGTTAAGACAAACACAAGTGGAATATTATTAATGTTCAGCTGGCATCCCTCGTTCCAAGCTTGGTGCCTTCCTCTCATTACCTTCTCTTCCTCAGCTGTCCACCAAGACTATGTCTGGTGGACACTCTTCTTTTTCTAGTCTTACCAAACCTCTGCTGTCTTCATGATCTTGCTAGAAATTCATAGACGTCTCCACCCTCTGTCAAGACCATCCATATCTCCTCTGCGAACGTTTTGTCCCTCTTCAGTTAATACCACTTGAACACATCTTTTTTTCTAGACCTCTTTCATCCTATTTCTCAAGGACACCTCCCATCCATGACCTCTCCCATCCTACTAGTTGAGGGATGGCCAAACCGCGGCTCACGATCCACATGCAGCTCTGACCTTTCATATACACTGCATGAACTATTCTAAAGAATTCGAATGTTCTAGAAATTTTGACCCGAATCCAGAGCAAGAAACGTGTGGCTATGTAGAGTTCCAATAACTACCGAAGGGAGTTCAGCATAAGTGCAGACATTGAACTGTGCTGACCTAGCTTGCACATTTATAAATCTTTAAGTGCACTATACACCATATAAATATAGTATAGTACACTATACTATATAGTAAACTATATAAATCTTATTTAAAGTGTATCTGAAAACTTTGTGAAGGCTTCACCAAATTGTAAGAAACGAAAATATGAAAATAATAACAGAAATATTCAGCCAGAGTGACAGGAAGAGTTGCATTCACAGTTAAAGGAGGTAAACTTTTGTGCTTTATCTGCCAAGTGCCACTTAGTCATTACAAAGCCGGTAACGTGTAAGGCTGATATTTGTAGCATTGTATTTTTGTCATAAAAATGTAATTATAACTATTTTTGTAAGGTGGAGATCTGATTAAAATATATCTAATTTGTTGGTTTACTTTTTTTTCAACTTTTGTGTGTTCATGATTGTGGGAACCGACCTGTGAGATTTATATTTATTTAATTTATATGAATTTATATTTACGTTAATTTATATACTTCGATAGCAATTTGTATGATGTTAAGTGGACTGTATTTCTGCAATAATCTCAATCTCACAAATCGATCCTCTACACATTAGGGGGGTTTATATTAATTAAATTTATATATATGCAGCCAATCAAACTACAGTATTAGACTACATACATTGAAGAGGTTCCTTATCTTATTTGTACAGCAGGTATAACCAGGATGTAGACACCACATTTTCCCTCTTTAAGGTAGCTTCCATCACCCTGGTAACTGATGTACAAAGCATGCTTCCTCGTCTTGACCTGTCAAAAGGGCGCTAGCTGTAAAGCCAGATACCTATATATGACAAGCTATATCAGAGAAAACACTGTACATGGAACCTTAAAGACCTGGCTTAATTACCTTTAGTTTGAGGCTACCACGTGCTCTAACCGGGTCACCCTATATAATGACATTAATGGCCATAAATGAAAGATACATGGGTTTCGGAAAGAACACTTAACTTGAATTTGTTGACAGCGTGTTGAAGATGGTACACCTTTGGTTTCCATAACACTACGTCCAAGTAAAATTAACAGGAGCCGTATTTGCTCCCGTGTGCCTCTGGTCTAGTATAAACAATGGCAATGTCTAACACTCCATACTATTGACGCTACTGGCCGACATTGTCCAGATATAATAGGAGCCGAATTTGCTCCACGTGTCTCGGAGGTGACAACAACAATGGCTGCCCTCCCTCACCCTGACGCCTAGCTTACATTGTCCAGATGTCAATAAGTGATAGAAGGGTCACATTTACTCTACTTTAATATTGATAATTAAGTTAATTTATATGAGATGTTTTTATAATGGTAAAGTCCAAAGACTAATGTATTTAAGAATAATTCCCAGCAGAATAGCTGGTGAATATAATAGTATGTGGTGATGATATCCCGTTTTCTTTAGACGGTAATTCCACTACAAGTTACGTTTTCTATGGGTAACTTGTTTATACAATACAGCTATTATCTGTATGATTATTAAATGGTGTCGGATTTTCCGACAATGATTACTGTAACTAATACAAATTAACAGTTACAAAACTGCATGCATGAATAAATATTATTGCATTTAATATGCATATTTTCTTTTTTTTAGATTAAAATACTTAATCTACTTGGCAGGACCAATCAAATCCTGGAACGTAGATGAGTTGAAGAGAATCATGAATGTTCGAGTGTGGGAGTTTTTTTTTTTTTTTATTATTATTATTTTCTACCATAGACGTGGCCACACAATGCTAACCAGCATATATACATTTTCTTCTGTCCAGAACAGTGTGGGAGTTGAGCGCCGAGCTCCCCAGTATGAGGGGGGGGCGGGGTTGTCACAACGAGAGATGGAGCCACTCCTGGTGACGAAATAATGATCACAGTAATGATAATGATAATAATGCACCAAACAAGAGAGACTACCTCGTCACTGATGGTGCTACATACTCACCACTGGAAGGTTGGGGCTCAACCCTACCAAGGAAGAAAGGCTTATTTGGGTAATCAAGATGAAGTCTTGTACCAATGTAGCCGAGGTTACAGAGTTGATAGTTACAGAGGCATGAGCTCATGCCTCTGGCGCCTTACAACTTGCTACTCCGGGTAGATGGGACTCGACAGCCTTGGAAGGCAGCTCATCTAGGGGAAGGAAACCCCTGACTTCAAACCTCCGCTGCCTCACGGCCTTACCCATTTTTGGGACGGGCTTCAGGAGTTAACCTCGAGGAACAATCCGGAGCTGGAGCCCCTAAGGCAGTTAGTTGTTGACTTCAACCTCGTTCTGGCAGCTCCTGCGACGGCGCTTGAACCAAGCGTATTGGCGTTTGCCTTTCCATTGGACAATTTCAGCAACGTGGAGAAAGGGGGACCTGCTGCATGGGTAACAGCTTCTCCACCATATCAACCTTACCAGGCTTTGTGCCCTGGAGAGGACACTCTAGCCTCGATAACCGGAGTGCAACTCCTTAGTCTCACGAGACTTCAGGATGCCTACAAGTTACCTTCCATCATCGTCAGACTCCTGGACTTGGTCATCTACCACATGATCCTATGGGGACTCCTGGTTCAATCTTGACGACGAGTGGACGTCTGGACATCACCTTCGCCTGGGAGCCGCCAGATTACATTCTGTTTTCGCGATTTTGGATTTGATGCTGTCGTTTGGCATTCCTATTCAACGATCCGGTTTGTACGACGCCTGGCGCACATATCGCCTTTGGTCCAAGGATGGTTGATAGATTTTGAACGTTTTCTGTCTGGTTCTCCCGGCGGGGTGACGGTGTTCGGCGTCGGCTTGGCGGAGAGGTCTCGGGAGTTGGTGGGTCTTGGTGAGCTCCTGGTGTGCCCTCAGTCGTGGTGGGCGGCTGACTTCTGCTCTGCCGGAGGACACTGGATGACTTTTGCGTTTTAGTTGGGGGCCGAGTTTTTGGTTTTGCTACCCAGTGTTCTCTGTGTGGAGCTGGGTCGGTGCTTGTCACCCTGAGTGACTCCTGGGGCTCCCCAATCATCTGCCTGTCTGCGTTTATTTGCCGCGAGGCATATTAGTTTCTGGTGATACGCGTCATTTATTTCGCCATTAGGATTTGCGATTAACCTTTTACAGGTACGACGTGGGGCATCCGATCCCACGATCGTCGTCTCCCCTTAATTCCCAACAACAACATGATCCCATGTTTGAGAAGTCCTTTCAGTTTCCATGAATCATTGTTTCAATTTTTTTTTATTTGATTTTAGATTAGACTAGACTAAACTAGACTTTAAACTAAAGTTAAGTTAACTAGAAAACGGAGTCAAAGAGAAACCACCTATCATGAAAGGGAAAGAGGACAAGTCGGTGCAGGAAGGGGTGTGTGTCGCTCCAAGGGGTGCACCCCCTTTTCAACAGGGGAGTCCTACTGTATTGTACTGTACACCTACTGTATTGTACTGTACACCTACTGTACTGTACTGTACACCTACTGTATTGTACTGTACACCTACTGTATTGTACTGTACACCTACTGTATTGTACTGTACACCTACTGTATTGTAGGTGTACAGCACAATACAACTCTGTGCCTACTGTATTGGCATAGAGTTCTCTATTATAGAGTTATTATAGAGTTCGTAGTTCTATTATAGAGTTATTATAGAGTTCGTAGTTCTATTATAGAGTTATTATAGAGTTCGTAGTTCTATTATAGAGTTATTATAGAGTTCGTAGTTCGTTCGTATGGTATCGTATTAGAGTTCGTAGTTCACGGGGGAGGGGACGGACGTGTCGTCGTCGCGCTCCGTGGAAACACTGGAATAAACCGGGCTTTTTTAGGATTACAACCATGGATCGTGCCCATAGTGATTACCAAGTGCATAGTGACCCGTAGGAAAGTTGAATACAGAAATTAACAATGGAACTTTGAGTTAAAGACAGAATAAACGTGGGACCACGTGGTGAGCCAGTGCCACCAGGCTCATGTGTACAGGCATTAAGCGATATATATCAAATATATATCAGGGTTCAGTAACAGGGTTGTTGATTTGTGGAACCAATTGCCGCGTAACGTGGTGGAGGTGGTGTCCCTCGATTGTTTCAAGCGCGGGTTGGACAAGTATATGAGTGGGATTGGGTGGTTATAGAATAGGAGCTGCCTCGTATGGGCCAATAGGCCTTCTGCAGTTACCTTTGTTCTTATGTTCTTATGTTCTTAAATATAGCGAGCAGTGATACGTTGAACAGTGAAGTGGAACGTGTAACACAACATATAAATTAGTGGATAGTGTTAGAGAATTGTACATAGAAAAAGTATAAATGTAAAGTTATGGCACGAGGCATCACACTTGGCTGTTTCCACCACATCCACGAGGCCTACACAGTGTAGGGGACGTCCCTCAGTAACAGTATACTCCCTTGGTGATATTATACTGGCAATATATATGGTAATACGGGAAAGTGGATTTAGAAACATTGGTTATAGAATTGTCTCTAAATTCACGTATCTTTTCGCACTCCATCACATAGTGACGAAGGGTGTGCGAATAATTTTGTTGACACAGTTTACATTTGGTCAGGTCTACATCGGCAGATAATGAGAATTCCCAGAGATACTTGTAACAGAGTCTAAGCCGAGCTGTAGTAACATCTAGAAGTCTGCTGATTTTATTGGATGATCCATAGATGTGTGGCTCCTCTTGCATGATAGTATGATGATAGATGGAATTACTGGTGTCAATTTCACTTTGCCTCAGATCTACAAGATCTTGTTGAAGTTCTCCGTGTACTGCTGCTCTCAGATTGCTCATTGACAATCCAAGGTTACACTCAACGGCTCCTTTAAAGGCAGATTCTTTGGCTAATTTATCAGCTCTATCATGCATTCGGAGGCCAACATGAGATGGAGACCACATGAAATGGACTCTGTAGGTGGGGGGGGGGGACAAAATGTGACCCATTGCCGATTTCACTAATTTGGCACACATATTTTCCGTATAAAAAGTCGTAATTTGCAACCCCATATATGTGCAGTGAGCCAGAACTCGGCTAAAAAATAACGCTCATGAGTCACATTTCCGACATTTCAGATATTTTGGAAACTGCAGGGGGGGGGGATAAAATTTGACCCATCGCCGTTTTCAGTTATTGGCATATTTTCGGTATAAAAAGTCGTAATTTGAAACTGAAAATAGCTGCAGAGAGTCAGAATTCGGCTCAAAAATGACGTCAGGAGTCAAATTTCCGACATTTCAGATATTTTGAAAACTGCATGGGGGGTTTGGGTAACATTTTAACTATCGCCGTTTTCAGTTATTGGGATATTTTCGGTATAAAAAGTCGTAATTTGAAACTGAAAATAGCTGCAGAGAGTCAGAATTCGGCTCAAAAATGACGTCAGGAGTCAAATTTCCGACATTTCAGATATTTTGAAAACTGCAGGGGGGGGTTTGGGTAACATTTTAACTATCGCCGTTTTCAGTTATTGGGATATTTTCGGTATAAAAAGTCGTAATTTGAAACTGAAAATAGCTGCAGAGAGTCAGAATTCGGCTCAAAAATGACGTCAGGAGTCAAATTTCCGACATTTCAGATATTTTGAAAACTGCAGGGGGGTTTGGGTAACATTTTAACTATCGCCGTTTTCAGTTATTGGGATATTTTCGGTATAAAAAGTCGTAATCTGAAACTGAAAATAGGTGCAGAGAGTCAGAATTCGGCTCAAAAATGACGCTCAGGAGTCAAATTTCCGACATTTCAGATATTTTAAAAACTGCAGGGGATTTGGGTAAAATTTGACCCATAGACAGTGTGGTTTTCGATCTGGAAGATCCTGTGTAACGAATTTACTCAGTTTCTATGATCGAGCCACAGAGATACTACAGGAAAGAGATGGTTGGGTTGACTGCATCTATCTTGACCTAAAAAATGCTTTCGACAGAGCTCCACATAAGAGGCTGTTCTGGAAACTGGAACATATTGGAGGGGAGACAGGTAAGCTGCTAAAATGAATGAAATTTTTTCTAACTGATGGAAAAATAAGGGCAGTAATCAGAGGCAATGTATCGGACTGGAGATATGTCACAGGTGGAGTACCACAGGGTTTAGTTCTTGCACCAGTGATGTTCATTGTCTATATATACGATCTACCAGATAAAATACAGAATTATATGAACATGTTGGCTGATGATGCTAAGATGATAGGGAAGATAAGAAACCTAGGTGATTGTAATGCCCTTCAAAAAGACCTGGACAAAATAAAGTATATGGAGCATCACTAGGCAAATGGAATTTAATGTGAATAAATGCCATGTTATGGAATGTGGAATAGGAGAACAGCATAGACCCCACACAACCTATAATTATGTGGAAAATCTTTAAAGAATTCTTATAAGATAGGGATCTAGGGGTGGTTCTAGATAAAAAAAAAAAAATGCCACCTGAGGACCACATTAAGAACAATACAATACAATACAATACAATTTTATTTAGGTAAGGTACATACATACAATAAATTTTTACAAGGATTGTTTGACTTATAGGTAGAGCTAGTACATACAATGCCTAAAGCCACTATTACGCAAAGCGTTTCGGGTATACATTGTGCGAGGAGCCTATGCTACATTTTCTAATCAGAATTGCTTATAAATACATGGATGGAGAAATAGTAAAGAAATTGTTCACGATTTTTGTTAGGCCAAAGCTAGAATATGCAGCGGTTGTATGGTGCCCATATCTTAAGACGCACATCAACTAACTGAATTCTCATTATCTGCCGATGTAGACCTGACCAAATGTAAACTGTGTCAACAAAATTATTCGCACACCCTCCGTCACTATGTGATGGAGTGCGAAAAGATACGTGAATTTAGAGACAATTCTATAACCAATATTCCAACGATGTGTAAATATTTCATTCAAAATGATCTGCTACCAGAAATTTTAGCCAAATATCCCCAGTTTGCTAACTGTAGGTAGTAGCTAAGTGATTTATTTATTTATTTATTTATTTATTTATTTATTTATTTATTTATTTATTTATTTATTTATTTATTTATATACAAGAAGGTACATTGGGTTTGTGAGAATACATAGTATAGTATTTACAATCTTGTAAAGCCACTAGTACACGAAGCGTTTCGGGCAGGTCCTTAATCTAACAGATAATTTTAAGTAGGTAAATTCTAGCAGAATTAATAAAATGATAACAGATACATTGCAAGAAAAAAATGAGTTGAGAGAGATTAGTAAGTATATTAAAGCACATTGGTATATTGATTGATTACATTGACAGCTTGATTGGTAATTTAAACAAGATTAATAGACACTATACAACAGATTGATAGCACATATAAGAAGACAGCAATGATCACAATGGTAAAGATATTCGGATTGGGTACATAAAGATTGGGAGATTGGGTAGCAATAGATACAGTGCAATTTTAAAGCAAAAGGTAAAAAACTCTGAAGATGAAATTATGTACTTTTTAGTTTTGTTTTTGAATGACGCAAAAGTTGGACAGTTTTTCAATTCATCAGGGAGTGAGTTCCATAAACTAGGTCCCTTTATTTGCATAGAGTGTTTACACAGATTAAGTTTGACTGGGGATGTCAAAGAGATATTTATTTCTGGTGTGGTGATAATGGGTCCTATTACATTCTGTCCAGGGAGAGTTTCAGAGCAGGATTTGCATTTAAGAACAGGGTTTTGTAAATGTATTTGACACAAGAGAATTTGTGGAGTGAGATTATGTTTAGCATGTTAAGGGATTTAAACAAGGGGGCTGAGTGTTGTCTGAAAGCAGAATTTGTTATTATTCTGATAGCAGATTTTTGCTAGGTGATGAGGTGGTTTGCAGTGGTTGAACCCCATGCACAGATATCATAATTAAGATAGATAGATTAGGGATAGATTAGTGATTGTAACCTATCCACCGCTGCCCACTGGATAGGGGGCGGTGTGCAGGACAAAAATATCAATTGTGACACTAGCTCTTAACATATGTCAGTTGCTTAATTTAGAAACTGTACTTGTGGTCGATCTCGAACTCATTGTTGATGTGACGACTTATACTGAATTTTGTAACTAGCTCATCAAGATTGTCGCTTAGCTAAATGAATTGTGGGGTTCAGTCCCTGAGCCCATTATGTGGCTCTGTAACCCTTTCCACTACCGCCCACAAGATGGGTATGGGGTGCATAATAAATGAACTAAACTAAAAAAAAGTAACTGGAAAAGGTGCAAAGACACGCGACTAAGTGGCTCCCAGATCTGATGGACAAGAGCTACGAGGAGAGGTTAGAGGCATTAAATATGCCAAAACTCGAAGATAGAAGAAAAAGAAGCGATATGATCACTACGTACAATATAGTAACAGGAGTTAGTTAGTTTAGTTCATTTATTATGCACCCCATACCCATCTTGTGGGCGGTAGTGGAAAGGGTTACAGAGGCACATAATGGGCTCAGGGACTGAACCCCACAATTCATTTAGCTAAGCAAGTTACAATCTTGATGAGCTAGTTACAAAATTCAATATAAGTCATCACATCAACAATGGGTTCGAGATCGACCTCAAGTACAGGTTCTAAATTAAGCAACTGACATATGTGGAGAGCTAGTGTCAAAATTTATATGTTTGTCCTGCACACCGCCCCCCATCCAGTGGGCAGCGGTGGATAGGTTACAATCACTTAGTTACTACCTACAGTTAGCAAACTGGGGATATTTGGCTAAAATTTCTGGTAGCAGATCATTTTGAATGAAATATTGACACATCGCTGGAACATTGGTTATAGAATTGTCTCTAAATTCACGTATCTTTTCGCACTCCATCACATAGTGACGGAGGGTGTGCGAATAATTTTGTTGACACAGTTTACATTTGGTCAGGTCTACATCAGCAGATAATGAGAATTCCCAGAGATACTTGTAACCGAGTCTAAGCCGAGCAGTAGTAACATCTAGAAGTCTGCTGATTTTATTGGATGATCCATAGATGTGTGGCTCCTCTTGCATGATAGTATGATGATAGATGGAATTACTGGTGTCAATTTCACTTTGCCTCAGATCTACAAGATCTTGTTGAAGTTCTCGGTGTACTGCTGCTCTCAGATTGCTCATTGACAATCCAAGGTTACACTCAACGGCTCCTTTAAAGGCAGATTCTTTGGCTAACTTATCAGCTCTATCATGCATTCGGAGGCCAACATGAGATGGAGACCACATGAAATGGACTCTGTTACCATCCTTAGTAATTTTGTTGTATTTGTGTCTAGCTTCGGACACGAGCATGTTACAGTTATGTCTTAAAGAGTTGAGAGCATTTAAGGATGATAAGGAGTCACTTACAATTAATGTATCAAGTTTTGAGACTTGTACACATTTCAGTGCAAGGATCAAGGCAAATAGTTCAGTCTGAAGGGTAGAGGCCCAGTTGTTTATACGGACTCCCCACTCAAAGTATAGGCCATCGCCCATTGTCAGGACAACTGCACTTCCAGCTGCACCCGTGGTGCGGTGTAGGGAACCATCAGTGTATATAATTTGAGAGAGAGAATGCTCTGTGGACAGAGCATCAATATGGCTTAAGGCGTTGAGCTTTGCCTCAAGACGAAGCTTGGGCTGATCTCTAATTTGCTTCTTGGGTGGAAAGGGAGGGATTAAAACTGGAAAGGGTGTAACCTCCCACGGTGCAGGAAAGTGCGCTAGTAACAGGAATCGATAAAATTGATAGGGAAGAATTCCTGAGACCTGGAACTTCAAAAACAAGAGGTCGCATAGATTTAAACGAACAAAATAAAGCTGCCAGAGAAATATAATAAAATTCACTTTTATAAACAGAGTGGTAGACGGTTGGAACAAGTTAGGTGAGAGGGTGGTGGTAAAAACCGTCAGTAATTTCAAAGCGTTATATGACAAAGAGTGCTGGGAAGACGGGACACCACGAGCGTAGCTCTCATCCTGTTACTACACTTAGGTAATTACCAGTTGAGAGGTGGGACGAAAGAGCCGAAGCACAACCCCCCCGTAGGAACAACTAGGTAACTATACACACACAATATTCCCGTTTTCATTAACAAAAGCTACTGCGTGGCAAAAATTTTGAAAATTCAATTCAAATCCTTTATTGCTTATCTATAATTATCTCTTATTGTCATAATTATTTGACATTTTCTTTTGAGATGTTATTAACGTCGTGTGCTTATATTAATTTTACGTCGTGTCAGTAGCAAATAATGGATAGAAAATATATGAAGAGAAATATGTGAAGAACAGCTGGCACATCATCCATATACAGGAACTTTTATAGTTTATGAAGCATACACAAAATGAATATATTTGTATGTAATATATAAAAATTTCAGCTAAAATAATGATGTGAATGGTCATTTAGATATAAAGTGAGACAGGTTTGAGACAGCGGTCGCCGCCTTCGGTTTGTTGTCTTGTTGAGAGCCGCCGAGGGAGAAATTGCAGACTCCGGGAGCTGAGAGGTCTCCTCGTCTGTGGTCCTGACCGAAGGGCCAAGCGCTAGGAGCTGAGAGCTGTACTCGTCTCTGTCACTGAGGAAAGACCAAGCTCCAGGAGCTGAGAGCTTGCGTCGTGTGTGGACGCCCTGATGACACTTGTGCCTACTTGACCATACCAACACCACCACCACAACAACAACCACAACACCACCACCACAACAACAACCACAACACCACCACCACAACAACAACCACAACACCACCACCAACATGGCTGTGGACATATTACACACCAGGAACTTCTTCCTTCGCTGCATGTGTGGCATCTATATGTTTGCCTTCGGATCTTTCTACCTTCAAGTTCCAGGTAAGTTCCAGGTAATTAATTAATTAGTATCAATAAGGGTCCCAGTAGTACAGTACGTACATACTCAGGAGTTAGTCAGCTTGTGGGGTTGCATCTTGGGTGGGTCAGTAATTCCACCTTGGGGGTCGTGGGACATCGATATAAGCCTAATGTGTATTAATACACACTTCCTGCGCCCGGCAATGAATTACATATTATTATTATTATTATTATTATTATTATTATTACAGTATTAGGATCTTCAAGTCTAGGGGCAGAGCTCCAGGTCCCAAGCCTACAGTTAGATGTTATTTGATATGTATAAAGATATCAATATCGTGTACATATATTGTTAAAAAAAAAAACACTCCTTTGAATGATTTTTATATTTATTCTTTTTCTGTAACATAAAGTTGGAGGTATTTTATCACTGAAAAATGTTGCTGCTGTTGATAAATTAATTTTCTGTCTGCCAGTTCCATTGTGCGATTATAACCACCTGCCACAAGGGTAGGTATGGGGTCCGTAAACCAATTGAATTTAACTGAATTGAATTTTTGATGTTGCTATCATCAATATCAGTTCAGGTCACTTCACTTGAAGAAACAGTTCACATAATGATTTTAACACCTATTATGGGCTAGATTCTGACCTACAGTTGACAAGGTAAGCTGTCAGTTCAATTAGTGATGCTTTACCTTCTCATCTATATTTCAGAATTTAGCAATTTAACTGTAGGCCAAATGTTTGATTAAAGGCCTAAGGCCCACTAATTTAGGGCCACTTTGACTAAGGCCTAAATTCACACAATTCAGTATTAACCTAACTCATGGTGTGATACATGTATAAAAGTGTGTAAAATATGCTGTAGTTATATGTGGTACCATGACCCAATTTATATAATAATAATACTTTTTATGATTCTTCTAAATATGAGAAATGATTTGAGCAATAGATAGTTCAAATATTAAATTAAAATTTGTGGACAAAACAATGTACACAAAATGTCTGCTTTGCATGATATGACTACCTGATCTATATCACCTTCTCACTGTGCACAATCTAGTAAAAAATCAATGCAACATGGTTTTGTTAAAAATAATTGCTAACCCACCAACCCCCACATTTGTTATTTGTGAGTTTGCTGGATGTCCATCAGTTTTGCTACAAACTGATGATCATTTGTACTGTCTCTCTTTGTTGCCAGTGAAGTGTGTATTACTCTCTATCCCCAAAGTCTGCAACATTTGGGGGTTGCTAGGCTGTTATTTTAGCTGCATCCCCCATCTTTCGGTTTTTATATATTGTACTGTACATATTTTGTAGTAAAAAGCTTCTTAGGTGAGCCACTTATGGTTTGTTTGCCTGTTTTTGTGTTTGTGGCCTAGTGCTTGAGAGATTGCCCCAGAGTCAGTCGTTTTGGTTTTAGGTTTTAGAATTAGAGCAGTTGGTGTGTCTACTGGTGCTATTTTTGTTGCTCTTTCTCCTTCCACTGTCCATCTGGCATGCTCTATGAACCCCTTTTACTCTCCCTTGCTCTGAGCTCCTGGACATCTGAGGATTTTGGAGTCTGGGCTGCATTTAGCTGTGGGTGTAACTTGGCTTCCCCATGAGATCACCCCTTCCATGTTAATGCCAGAAACAGTTCAGCCATTGCTTCTCACCAGGAGTCTGTAGCTATCTGTTTCTCTTGTGGGTGCATTTGACTCAAATGTTTTTAGAGTTTGCAGATACCTTCCAGTCTGTTTAGGTATGGAAGGACAGGGTCTAGGAACTAGGCTCTGCCTCTGGAAATATACCTGTCGCTTCAGGAAGTCACCGGAGCTTTTCTAGAAAGAGGCATTTCATTATATTCAACGCAAGATATTTTGTATTTGGTAACTTTTCAATACCCACACTAGATGGTATGCTTTACACTTTCCTAACAGACTGTATATCATGGATTTGGTTAGTTTAAGGCGGTAAATTTATAGTGAAGCATTATCTCTGATACAACATGTAGACCTATCCATTAGGAATATGTCAAACATACTACAGTACAGTTTCTGGGTTTGTTTCCTGGGCTAGGCAGAGACAAATGGGCATAGTTTCTTTCACTCTGATGCCCTTGTTACCCAGCAGTAAATAGGTACCTGGGACAGCTGTTACGGGCTGCTTCCTGGGTGTGTGTGTGTGTGTAATTACCCAAGTGTAGTTACAGGATGAGAGCTACGCTCATGGTGTCCCGTCTTCCCAGAAACCTTTGTCATATAACACATTGAAATTACTGACGGTTTTGGCCTCCCCATCTTCTCACCTAACTTGTTCCAACCGTGTACCACTCTGTTTACAAAAGTGAATTTTCTTATATTTCTCCAGCAGCTTTGTTTCGTTAGTTTAAATCTATGACCTCTTGTTCTTGAAGTTCCGGATCTCAGAAATTCTTCCCAATCAATTTTATCGATTCCTGTTCCTGTTTTGTACGTAGTGATCATATCGCCTGGTTCTTCTATCTTCTAGTTTTTGCATATTTAATGCCTCTAACCTCTCCTCGTAGTTCTTGTCGTTCAGTTCTGGGAGCCACTTAGTGGCATGTCTTTGCCCCTTTTCCAGTTTGTTGATGTTCTTCTTAAGATATGGGCACCATACAATTGCTGCATATTCCAGCTTTGGTCTAACAAAAGTCGTGAACAATTTCTTTAGTATTTCTCCATCCATGTACTGTATTTAAAATCAATTCTGAAGTTAGAAAGTATAGCATAGGCTCCTTGCACAATGTTCTTAATGTGGTCCTCAGGTGACAGTTTTCTATCTAGAACCACCCCTAGATCCCTTTCTTTGTCAGAATTCTTTAAAGATTTCTCACATGATTTATAGGTTGTGTGGGGTCTATGTTCTCCAATTCCACATTCCATAACATGGCATTTATTCACATTAAATTCCATTTGCCAAGTGTTGCTCCATATACTTATTTTGTCCAGGTCTTCTTGAAGGGCATGACAATCATCTAGGTTTCTTATCTTCCCTATTATCTTAGCATCATCAGTGTGTGTGTGTGTGTGTGTGTGTGAGGAAGAAAAATGAAAATACAGTAGTTAGTAGTTAGTAACAATTGATTGACAGTTGAGAGGCGGGCTGAAAGAGCAGAGCTCAACCCCCCAAACACAACTTGGTGAATACAGTACTTACTATAGCTCACACTGAGCTCACAAGAAAGTGATGTATCATGCATGTACCCAGGGAAGTCTAGGGATGCTAGCTCAGTCTCATTACATGAGCCTCAATATTTGCTCTATTAATTATGTATGGGTGCACAAAGTGGTTATCAAATATGAAATTCAATACAGTCTGCAGAGTGAAAATTAATGTATAAAACAACTAGTGTGAGACTACAAACTGATCATTTCCAATGCAACACAGTTTTCAAGTTTATAACAAAGTGATTATTAACACAATCCACACCTGTGAAGTGAAATGAAATGAAAGTGCTATGTTTTGGCTCAACCAGGATCCTTATCAAGTCCATATTATGACTTTATAAGGGTCCAGGGGCAAATTGAAATGTCATTTTATTCCATGTGTGTGCTGAGTTATCTATTTCAGAATGTTATTGAAACTTTTAAACAGAACAATGTTCTTATAGAGTATTTAACACTGTTGGGTGATGACAGTGTAGAAGTTATAGTCAAAATATTAAATTATTTCAGGTTTATATGGAGAAAAGGGGATTTTGCCAGCCCACACACAGCTGCCTAATCTTAAATATCCCAAACAATGCTTTTTTGACAAGCTGACAGTGCTGTGTTTCTCATCCTATGTTGGTCTGAATGTCTCATACATGATGGAGCTACTGGCCCTTGTTGGAACTGTGCTTAGCTTCGTAGGGTAAGTATGTACTATATTCGGACATTGTAAATACCTGAACTGTATAGTATACATTTATAATACATAAAGTAAACAAAAATTAAATTATCTTTTCTTTCACGTGACATCAAGTGTTAAATAGTCATACAATCTCAGTACTTTCTTCTGATTAGTGCTAGTTCTCCTTTCTTAGTACTCTTTGTTTCATGCCTTATCTTTGGTATGAAACAAATTTGTGAAATAATTTTACCATTGTTTCACAACAGAATTTTAATTTTCAGTAGATGAATATTTTTGTATTACATGTATGTACAGTATATTTTGCCATTTTTCCTTGAGTAGAGTTGCTCACTTGAATATTGCATCTGTAGCCATGATTGTCATTTTATAGATAAACATCTCTTGTTATATTGCTTGGCCCCCCATTGGTGTTTCCATAAAGGTATTAATTATATTTTTGAAAGTGATTTGAAGTACAATAATGCACAACAGTGGCTGAATACTAGCAATTTTACCTTATATTGCTCCTGTATTTTTATCCAAGCTTCCCTCCCCATGTTCCTCCAGGCTGTTACCTTCCCTCCCCATGTTCCTTCAGGCTGTTACCTTCCCTCCCCATGTTCCTCCAGGCTGTTACCTTCCCTCCTTTTGTTCCTCCAGGCTGTTACCTTCCCTCCCCATGTTCCTCCAGGCTGTTACCATCCCTCCCCATGTTCCTCCAAGCTGTTACCTTCCCTCCTTATGTTCCTCCAGGCTGTTACCTTCCCTCCCCATGTTCCTCCAGGCTGTTACCTTCCCTCCCCATGTTCCTCCAGGCTGTTACCATCCCTCCCCATGTTCCTCCAGGCTGTTACCTTCCCTCCTTATGTTCCTCCAGGCTGTTACCTTCCCTCCTTATGTTCTTCCAGGCTGTTACCTTCCCTCCCCATGTTCCTCCAGGCTGTTACCTTCCCTCCCCATGTTCCTCCAGGCTGTTACCTTCCCTCCCCATGTTCCTCCAGGCTGTTACCTTCCCTGCCCATGTTCCTCCAGGCTGTTACCTTCCCTCCCCATGTTCCTCCAGGCTGTTACCTTCCCTCCCCATGTTCCTCCAGGCTGTTACCTTCCCTCCCCATGTTCCTCCAGGCTGTTACCTTCCCTCCCCATGTTCCTCCAGGCTGTTACCTTCCCTCCCCATGTTCCTCCAGGCTGTTACCCTCCCTCCCCATGTTCCTCCAGGCTGTTACCCTCCCTCCCCATGTTCCTCCAGGCTGTTACCCTCCCTCCCCATGTTCCTCCAGGCTGTTACCTTCCCTCCCCATGTTCCTCCAGGCTGTTACCTTCCCTCCCCATGTTCTTCCAGGCTGTTACCTTCCCTCCCCATGTTCCTCCAGGCTGTTACCTTCCCTCCCCATGTTCCTCCAGGCTGTTACCTTCCCTCCCCATGTTCCTCCAGGCTGTTACCTTCCCTCCCCATGTTCCTCCAGGCTGTTACCTTCCCTCCCCATGTTCCTCCAGGCTGTTACCTTCCCTCCCCATGTTCCTCCAGGCTGTTACCTTCCCTCCCCATGTTCCTCCAGGCTGTTACCTTCCCTCCCCATGTTCCTCCAGGCTGTTACCTTCCCTCCCCATGTTCCTCCAGGCTGTTACCTTCCCTCCCCATGTTCCTCCAGGCAGTTACCTTCCCTCCCCATGTTCCTCCAGGCTGTTACCTTCCCTCCCCATGTTCCTCCAGGCTGTTACCCTCCCTCCCCATGTTCCTCCAGGCTGTTACCTTCCCTTCCCATGTTCCTCCAGGCTGTTACCTTCCCTCCCCATGTTCCTCCAGGCTGTTACCTTCCCTCCCCATGTTCCTCCAGGCTGTTACCTTCCCTCCCCATGTTCCTCCAGGCTGTTACCTTCCCTCCCCATGTTCCTCCAGGCTGTTACCTTCTCTCCCCATGTTCCTCCAGGCTGTTACCTTCCCTTCCCATGTTCCTCCAGGCTGTTACCTTCCCTCCCCATGTTCCTCCAGGCTGTTACCTTCCCTCCCCATGTTCCTCCAGGCTGTTACCTTCCCTCCCCATGTTCCTCCAGGCTGTTACCTTCTCTCCCCATGTTCCTCCAGGCTGTTACCTTCCCATGTTCCCCATGTTCCTCCAGGCTGTTACCTTCTCTCCCCATGTTCCTCCAGGCTGTTACCTTCCCTCCCCATGTTCCTCCAGGCTGTTACCTTCCCTCCCCATGTTCCTCCAGGCTGTTACCTTCCCTCCCCATGTTCCTCCAGGCTGTTACCTTCCCTCCCCATGTTCCTCCAGGCTGTTACCTTCCCTCCCCATGTTCCTCCAGGCTGTTACCTTCCCTTCCCATGTTCCTCCAGGCTGTTACCTTCCCGCTGTATGATTTTCGGGAGGGATTTCCCACCCTTTCAAATTTCTTGATAATTTGTAATATTTTTTGTATAAAAAGAAATCCTAGGAACATTTCCTGGGTACAACAGTACATCGACCCCCCTGACAACCTCCACCCCCGCACATCCCCCCCCTCCTCACACCTCAACCCCCACCTCCTCACACCTCTTAACCCCCATCTCTTCACACCTCTCAACCCCCCCACCTCCTCACACCTCACAACCCCCACCTCACAACCCCCACCTCACATCTCATGACCCCCCCCCCCACCTCATTCCTCAAACCCCCCCCCCACTTTCTCACAACCCCCACATCAATTCCCTCAAAAACCCCAATTTCTACTCCCTCACAACTCCAACCTAAACTCCTACACAAACCCAGCATCTACTCCCACACAACCCCCCCTCCCCCCACCTCCATCAAATCACAACATCTGCATCCCCCCTCATGCCTCACAACCGTCTCTTCCACTCCCTTCAAACCTCACATTCGTCTCTTTGTCCCACTTCAACCCTCACATCTCCCAACCCCCACCCCCCCCCCTCACACCTTTAAACCCCCACCTCTATACCCTCTGAAACTTCTCAACCTGCACCTCTACTCCTTCACAACTCCTACACACACCCCACCTTAGCACAACACCCCATCTCCACCCTATCAAAACCCCTCCTCTCTCACTGCCACCTCCACATAATGCCCACACCACCATCTCCTCAACCCTCACACAACCCCACCTCCATTACTTCATCAACCCCCACAACCCCACCACCATTACTCAACACTCAATCCCCCACCACTTCCACCCTCACACCACCTCCACCTCTGCCTGCACTCTTGCTGCTGCATGTACTAGCCTCCTTTCATCTCAAGTGTTCTGTGCACTTACTGGATTTCAGTTTTGAGAAGTCTTACATGTCATTATGCACACTTATAGTTGCTGGGTCAAACCTTCTAATCATCATTAAATATGGGAGCAATTTAATTAATTGTAAAAATGAATCTCAAATTCCAGGATGGTGTGGAAGTCATGGTGTACAGCAACCCTCTTTGTCTTGCTCTGGGGCACCTACCTCTCTCTCTACCAGGTGGGACAGACCTTCCTCTGGTTCCAGTGGTGAGTTGTACCTTTTATTTATTTATTTATATAATTTTCTGGGGGGGCACCCCCTATGCCTCCCCGGAGCTATCCAGGCTGATAGGGATACCCTAAATATTTTGCAACAGTCGATGTGGGTGGAGTTCTAGGCCTACCAGGGACCGCGAGCCAAAACCTGGGCCCCCTCACAGAGGCACGAGGAGCAATGACCCATAGAAATGCACATGTGATTAGGTGCATTCTGTATCTGCCATCGACCGGGACAGGCACACAGAAGCTAAGCAACACAAAACAAAATCCTATTCTGGTTAAAACAACGAAAATCGCCAACAAGTGGACAGAACTCTCCAAAAGAAAAATGAGTAAACAAGCACGACATCACACGAGCCGTGCCGCATGGCTGTGCAGCTCCCCTCTCCCCGGGAGGGGGAAGGGGAAACCCCAGAGCCTTGCGCCAGCGATCCACACCCGAGTTCCTCGGCTGATGGACTCGTGCATTAGTCGTGTGGCTCCAACTCCAGTCTTCTCTCGGTGCTGTTATTGGTTTCAGTACTGCTCTTATGGTAGCGTGCGAGTTGGGAGTAATTCTCAGGTATTGGGCTGCATGTGCTTAGGGTCACCTTCCCTGAGTGCCCTGTAAGTACTGCCCTTGGGGCTTGGGGTTCGCTTCCACGAGTCACCTTGCGTCTACCTCTGTTGGCCTTTCGCTGCTTGGTGTTTGGACGCCCCAAGTGTGTTGGGAGGTGGGGGTATTTTCAGCCCTTGTTTGCCTTGGGGTAAGTGGTAGTTATTGCACTGGTGAGGGTGTGGGGTACTGTGTAGCTAGTTTTCACCTTTAACAGCGGCCGGCTCTATTCTCTTCGAGTACGTTGTCCTCTTGTGTGGTTTTTCTTGTCTTTTTGTTTTTGCCTGGTGGGGAGGGGTCTGCCTTGTATTCTCCCTCCCCTTATCTTAGAGTCGTTTGTGTGGTGGCACTCCCTGCTTCGCCCTCGTGAGTGGACATGTCCCATGAGTTCAGCTTTTAGCAGTTTGCATGGTAGTTTGTGGCGCCGGTTAGCAGTACCCTGCCTGGGATAACCCTTAGCAGACCCAGTCTGGGATAACCCTTAGCAGACCCAGTCTAGGGGCTGGCCCTGGAAAACCCTGCGAGGGCACTCGGGTTCAATGGAGGAGACCCCTGTGTCCCCTCTCGCTTTATGTGAGTTTGAGGGTTGCTCTGTCCCCCTGTCTCAGGGCGACATTCATTGTTTTTGCCTCCATCGTACTGCCTGCTGGGTTGGTGAGACATTCGACCCTGAGTCCTGCGAGCTTTGTTGCTTGTTTGTGACTCAATTCTCCCAATCTGATGATGATGTTCTTCGGATGCAGGCAGCACGTGCGTTGCAGGATAGGTTTAGGTTATTGCAACGTGCTCGGGTTGTTGCTTCCACCGGACGCCCCAAGGCTACCCCGCTTTTCCTATAGGGACTCTGACTTGAGGGTGTTGTTCTCTTCAGCCATTGTTCCGTCCACGCCCCCTCGTTCTTCCCCTTCGTTGGTTCATTCGGTCCCCTATCCCCCTGCTTCTGGCCCCAAAGCATCTGAGGGCTTTGGGGTCTAGGCAAGGTTTAGAGGTTTCAGAGAGACTGGCAGTTTCGGTGGTTGCCCCATCCGGGACGGCAATGAAGACATTTGAGTCAGTTCCTCCTGTCATTGCTCCGGGGTCTGGTAAGTGGGCCCCTTCTCTTCCGGCTCTTTCAGCTGCCCTGGCTTTTTCTTGCGATTCCGGGGCTTTGGAGGATGACTCAGCCCTGGAGCCTGAAGTGGAAGTTCCCGGAGTTGGGGAGGAGCAGACTTTGGGGGACCTTGGGCTCCGTTGGACCCCGCTTGGATTTTCCAACCTTCTGAGTGGGGCTTACTGTTGCAAGGAGTGGGGTTTTCTTTCCCCCCTCTGCGTATGATTTGGACTTGGGCTCAGCTCCTCCCCGGGTTCGGTTCCGTGTCCCTGTGGATCCTTTGGTTCCGTCTTTCCAGAAGTTTTCGGCTTAACGCATCTCGCCGCCTGAGGTGCGGTCGGCCATTGCAGCTTACCTCCTGCGCGACCCAGAGTATGCCTCCATAATGGATCCTTCTTCGTTCAGGTTTGGATCTTCGTGTCTTTACTGGGTGCGTTATGAGGTTCCGGGGTCGTCCTGGCTTGCAGACTGCCCCTTGTTTTCGTTGGATGCTTGGGACTCGTTCTGTTGGACCCGCACGTTTGAGTAGCGTGAGGCATTGACAGTGGTCTAGGTTTACCTGGGGGGGCGATTTTGAGCATCTTAATGAGTGCCTTTTCCTTTTCGCTCCTGCCCTTTTGCAGGATATTGGTGCGGTTCAGCTTCATGCGCAGGTTCCTTCCCTGTCGGCTGTGCTTGTGGCTGAGGACTTGTGCGCTCGTGGCTTTTTTGGCTTCGGTCCTGCATTTCTTTTCCCTCCTGGAGCTGTCTACGGATTGGCTTGCGGAGGATGTAGAGGTGCTTGGGGCCGTTCCTGGGTCTGGCGCCTTAGTCTCGGCTGCTCGTGCGTCATCTGCTCTTTTGAAACTGTTTGCGCTGATCCTGCTAGAGGCATTGCTACGGTTTCTCGCTGCGCATTTCGTGTGTCGATAGTGGGTTCTCACTGCTTCCTTGGAATCCGCTTGGGCCCTGGTTCTCCGGTTGTCTTTCCCTTTTTGTCCTTTGCTTTTTGAAGCCTCTGCGGTTGAGCGTTATAGTCAGGCGGCTTCTTCCACTTCCCGTCCTATGTTTGAATTGTTGGTTCTTCGGGGGAACCAGGGGGTTCCTTCCCGGCGGGGTCGTGCCAGGGCTCGCATTTCCGTTCGTTAGGGTCGGCCACAGGTGTCAGGTTCGGTGACGGTGCCGCCTGCGGTCCCAACTGTGCCTGGACGGCGTGGTGTTCGCTCTGCGCGCAGGTCAGGTTGTCGTAAAGGGCAGCGGCCCTTTCGTGGTTCGCCCCATTGACGGGGCAGTGGTGGGGTAAATCATGTATTTACATTTTCTATTTGTTACTCAATGGATGACTACTGTAAGTCACTGGTTTTACTTAGCTTTTCAATGGCCAGTAGACAATGATTCGATTCTGTCTATATGTGAACAAAATTAGCACACACTGTTTATAGTTTCAGTTAAAATGCTTATGTAAAAAAAATAGGAGTATATGCATACAAGGTACAAAAGTCCAGCGTGACTTCCCACAGCAAAGCCTAAAGTCGGCAATAATTGTGCATGGATACTCCATACACAATTTAAAATGATGATATGATTAAGCCCAGAAGGCTCAGAAGCCAGTTCACCAGTTGATTAGCAGCTGAAAGATAGGACCAAGGAGCCAAAGCTCAACCCACCCTAAAGCCCAACTAAATGAGTACAATTAGGTGAGTACCAGCCATGTTGTACCCAGGCTGCCTGGTGCTCCAGCCAGCCAACCCTTTCACTTGCCTGGTCATGCATGGAAATTCTGCACCTTGGCCTGGGCTCATCCTACTAGTCTTTACAATAATGATTTTGGTGATGCCTTTAATTAGAATAGTTAAGGTTCAGATAGCTTTACTTCAAGTGAATATTTTCGATCTATGACTAAAACTTGTGTGTTTTCTAATATTTGTAGGGATATACTTCTGCTGGAGATTGGTTTCCTCACCATATTAGTAGCTCCAGTAAGTAGACGTGCCTGGTCCGAGTATCGCCCCAGGAACTTAGTGACAATGTGGTTGATTCGATGGGCACTCTTCAGGCTTATGTTTGCCTCTGGAGTTGTTAAATTCCAAAGTGGCTGCCCAACATGGTGGGGTTTGACGGGTATGTAAGAAGTTTTACATCTACACAGATTTTTTTAATCTCGGCTCTGCTTAATGATTATAAAGTACTGTATATGGATAAATATATGTAGTACTGTACTGTACATTATATTCAGAATGATAAATTACAAATTTACTTCTGTTACTTCTACAGTCTTTTCTAGTATGTTTTATTTTGTTTTTGCAGCCCTGCCCCTCCATTATGAGTCCCAGTGCATCCCGACTCCACTGGCATGGTATCTTTACCAGCTTCCTGTGTGGTGGCACAAACTTTGTGTAGTTGCCACGTTCATCATCGAGATTCCTGTGCCATTTCTGTTTTTCAGTCCTGTACGTTCACACAGAATATTCAGCTGTTACGCTCAGGTTAGTGACAGCAATGTGGCGGAGAAATAATTTTTGCTAGTAATGTATGTTTCATCGCCTGCATAAAAATACTTTATTGTATCAAATTTCTTAATTATTTGTTTTATGTTTGTGGCAAAATGTTTTCTTAACTTTCCTAGATACTGTAATTCTTCTTACTTATGTATAAATAACCAACACGAAATTAAATAAAACATATTGTTTATGATGACCAAACCACAACTCAGAAGATGGAGAAGCGACGACGTTTCTGTCCATCCTGGCGCATTATTGAGTCGTGTGATATTTGATAATGGTCCAGGATGGACCGAAACGTTGTCACTTCTCCATCTTCTGAGTTGTGGCTTGGTCATCATTTCTTCAGCCATGTAATTGTGACTCATCATCTACATATTGTGTATATTTAAAGTTGGTAGAATATGGTCCATGTATTTCTGTCAAGTCTCTCTCATTCTGCTGGGCATTATGTAATGTGATGCCTTACTCCAAACTCCAGTGATTATCATCTAGTTCAAAACCTGTCCAAAGAGATGTATGGCAAGTATCCCACCGAAAGATGTCTTGATCTCTCGGATGCTTCCAGCTTACAGAACATTGCCTTGAATTATGATTGTTCCCCAGTTTCCATGATTGGCTAGATCTTCAACTAGGAAAACATTCTGTTATTTAATGAAAAAGTTACTGTTAAATTGTGAAATTTATTGGTTGATATGAGAAATTGAACATTAGACTGTCAAAAAGTTTACATTGTCCATGAAAGTAATACAGTACTTCAGTCAAATAAAAAGGTAAACCTTTTATTTCTCTGTAGGAATTTATCTTTTGCTACACTCACTGCAGTGCTACTTGATGCTCAGCTAAAATTTGCAACCTCTATTGTCCTTTCAGTTACTGTAGTCACTATAACAAGGGATATACAGTATACACCAAGAGGTGCACCCACACTGAAACTTCTCTTTAGTTTTGACCTATGTTCAGGTTAAGTATACCAGTACATGCAGGTTGATCAGTAAGCTACTCTTGAGGCCTTAATAATCTTCCTTAAGTTATTCAATTCATTAATTCTTTTTTTTTTTGAGGCCCAGACAGCCTGTGTACTGTACTCCATGCACACTAGGCTTATATGAAGGTGCCCCCAAGTTCGAATTAGTGACCCTTCCCAGGATGCAACCTCACAATAGTTGACTAGCTCCCATGTACCTGTTTCCTGAAGGTGATCAGAAGCATTAGGTGTTAGGAAGCAACCATTTCTGTCCCACTTGGGATCCAAACCTGTGATTCCCAATTGTGAGTCGAGAATGAACCCAACTGTACTACCTTAGGCCCAACACAAGACTAAATCACAGGACAGATGAATTTTGTAGGGATCTTTAAAGTTAGGTCTTGACTAGGACCAAAGTACCTCACACTTCATCTTCAGACATAGCTTATTAACAGTTAGTTATGGAGTGATAAGTAAAAAGGGAAATTATATCATAAAGTATAAAGATAAGTCTTAATTTATTTGGTTTTCAGTGTAAAGGTTGTGCAAGGAAAAGGAATTTTATATACAGTACTGTATTTAGGTAACATTTGAATCAATGTATCATTCTTAATTGTGGAACAAATAAAATGTAAACAAATTTAAAAATAAAAATGTATATAACTTTATTGCAGATATTCTTGCAAATTATGATCATCTTAGCAGGAAACTATAACTTCTTCAACCTACTGACCATCACTCTGTGCTTGTCACTGATGGACGACATGCACCTTTGCTACCAGCACGGTTAGTGCTCTCTATTTTTAGAATAATCGTGCATACACAACATTTTCTCTTTTAGAATAATAGTACACATTAATTACACTTCATAAGGAATATTTATAGATTCGTAAACTTTACAGTCAAGTCATTTACTAAAAGGCATTTAATTCTTTAAATATTAGTAACATTCAGTATATCCTTATAGCCAATAAAAATAGATTTACCATTTATAGATGTCACATTGGGAGCTTTCATGTACTTTGTTGTTTGTGAAGCATTGTTTTGTATTCCAAATAGTCAATAAAGATCATGTTAGTTTGGATGTAAAATTAGGTTTGTCCTCATTAAAGAATGAAGAAAAAATACTGTAGATTTGTAGTAGTGAGATGGGAGAGCTGTAGCATCATAAAGGTGGGAGCTGTAGCATCATGAAGGTGGGGAGCTGTAGCATCATGAAGGTGGGAGCTGTAGCATCATGAAGGTGGGAGCTGTAGCATCATGAAGGGGATGGGGGGCATTGTTGCTTCAGAAATGGAGAGCTTTAACATTATGAAGTGTTACTATAAGTGGGACTGATATAAATATTGGGTTTTAAAATATCACCTAGTTCATTGTGTAATATGAGTAGGAACCAATAAAGCTGAGCATCATAAGGTTGACAGTGAGTGAGTGAGTGAGTGAGTGAGAAGAGAGCTTTCAGACTGAGGACCTGTTCACAAATTTCAACCAGGCATCCCAAAGACTTCTTGTTGATAGAACATTACTTTGAATATGTTGTATTCCCAAGCCTTGAATGAAACGTAATACTAAGGAATTTAATTTGGGTCTTAAATCTTGCAGTGAAAGACCTGTCATTTGGGTTTATATCGTACGTAAAGAGCACATGCAGCTGGTTGGGCAAGTGGGTTGGCTTTGGAGTATTAGCGTACTACTCCATGGCCTACTTCTCCTTGAGATTTACCCCACAGGGGACCATTGAATCCACCATAGGTAAGCTGGAGTTGTGGTGGCTGTTTTATTTACTTGTTCCTTTGATTTTGAGACATTTTACTTATGGTATGCATGAGCTTTAATGTATATAGTAATGTTCTTATACTATACTCAGAGGAAATGATTCTAGAATTATAAGCTTAGAAATATTGATTAACAATCAAACAACAATTGCTTTATAACTTTGTATATTTTGAGCACAAAGAATCTAGGGAAGTAACCTCAATTTTTGTGTCAATCATATCATAATACAGTGCTATTTCATATTTGTAAAGCAATCATATTCCCTCTGGTTCTTCTCACCTCTGGGGTTGTAGTTGTTCTTTACTTTTTAAAGGCATTGTTTGTGCTTTGCAGTTTCTCATCTGTTGCAGTAGTTCCCACCAGTCTCCTTTCCCTTTTAATTACCTTTAGCTGCACTTACTGAAGTTCAGTTCTACCAGTCATGTGTCCACTGCTTGAGTTTGTCAAGATTTTCTTCAGACTGCATTTTGCGGTCCTCCTCGGTCTTAACTGTCCTCATAAGCTTTGTCATCTATTTGTTATATTTGTCAATCAAGACTTTTCCTAACCCTCTCTGGTAAGTCATTCACATACTTTATGAACAACATATGACCCAGAACTAGCTCTTTCAGAAACCCTTCTCACTATATCTTTCATTTCTGTGGGAAACCCCGTCGGCTCCCTGGAGCTATCGGACTAATATGCGATATATTAGTCTGGGGCATCAGTCAGTTGGAGTTCAGCTTACCAGGGACCACGAACTAGAATCTGGCCCCCTTAGAGGCAAGAGAGCAATGGCGTATGAAAACCCCCATGTGGTTGGGGGCATTCCATGTCTGCCATCAATCGGGGTTAGCACCGAAAAAGGTAGGCATAACAAAACAAACCCCACTTGGTGTGAAAATTGCAACCGAAGACCGAATAGAGAAGCAGAACTCCTTCAACACCCAAGGAAACAAGCAAACTTCATACAACGCCGCCGTGTCGCTCATCCGCGCAGCCCTACACTTCCCAGGAGGGGGAGGGGAAGCTCCGGACCCCCATGGCGGCTACTCACACCCCAGTTTGTTGGCTGATGTGACAACTCTGGACTCGATTTCTTGGCAATGTTTCACCTTAGTGGTGTTCTCTGCGGTGTTGTAGTACAGTGGCCAGGCGTAACTACAGTGTACTGGGGCTGCATGTGCTTAGGGCTACCTTCCCTAAGCACCCTGTAAGTACTAAAGTACTACCCTTGGGTGCTAGGGTTGCATTCCATAGTGCCTTCGGGAAACCACTTCCATGGGGGTTCTTGCTGCTCGGCATTTTACCCCTCCCTTGGGGCCAGCTGGGGTTTCATGGCCTATGTTTGGCCTTGGTTAGGAAGTGGTCTTTTTGCTGGTTGGGGCACAAGGTGCTAGGCGGCGGCCGTGTACCTGTTTCTTCTGGGAGACGTTATACTTTGGCTGGGTTTTTCTTTTTGTTTTCCTTGCCAGGAGGGGGGTCTGCCCTGTTTGGTTATTAGTCCACTTCAGGTTGTTGGTGGCCTTCCTCTAGGCCCCCATGATTGTACACTTTACAGGGATTCAGTTTTTAATTCATCCCCCTTTGTTAGCTCTTGGGTTTCACTGACTTTGTAGCATCTTGCCTGTTCTTCTCGTAGCAGTCAGCCTGCAGGCCCTGCAAAACCCCCTTGGGGCTCAGTGGACCGATAGATGCATCTTCCAAGTTCCAGCTCGCCTTGTGTGAGTTTGAAGGTTGCTCTGTACCCTTGTCTCTGGGTGACAGTCGCCTCTTTTGCCTCTGTCATGCTGCCTCTTGGGTCAACGACACCTTTGACCCGGAGTCTTGTGAGACGTGCTCTCTGCTCGTGCTCCAATTTACCCATTCTATTGTCACGGAGGTTCAGGTACAGGCGGCATCTGCGTTGCATGCTCGGTTCAGATTGCTGCAACACGCTAGATTAGTTGTCCACTCGGATGCCCCAAGGCTGCCCCATTTTGGTTAGGCGTTGTTCGTCCTGCTCCCGGCTCCAAAATGTCTGAGGGTTTTGTGGTTGGGGCAGGGTTTAGTTGGTGATGAGACTCGAGCGGCTTTGCGCGCTACCCCATTCGGGTTGGGGACGGAGGCATTCGAGCCTGCTCCCACACTAATATATAGCATATCAGTCTGATAGCTCCGGGGAGCTTCCGAGGCTCACTCAAAAAATGGTGTTTCATTACATTCAATGCTGGTTTTCTACATACCTCTGACTTATCCTGTTTCCGGTCTCAAAGGTAAACTCTTACCCCAAGTGTTACAATTTATCCCATTTTACCTCATCATCTTACTCACCAGCGATATGCTAGAAATAGAACACAATTATTTTTAATAGAATACAAAAATGCACACATTAGCAGAATAATGTTGTTAGCATTTGTCAAACTAGCCAACATCCAGATAATTCAGGAACTCAAAGAAAGTAGAATTGCTATAGGGCTATATACAATTTACGTAAGACCCTCTCTTTATTATGCAACCCCCAACATGGCACTTCCCCCTGAAAAGACAAAAACAAACCAAAAATTGTTAACAAAAATATGCAACAAAGTTCTTTCCTGAGATAAGGGGATCAAGCAATAGGGAAACACTGTAGTAGCTGGGTTTTAAACACACTGGAAGAGAGAAGGAACAGGGGAGACCAAAGCTAGACCATCCCTATCTACCAGATGCCCACACCCACGAGGCCAACCATACCATTAGCCCACATACCCATCCACACTGTCAACCATATACCCTACCCTCATGCAATCACTACACCATCACCCCCATCCACAATTTGCTTACACCTTTTATAATATTTTGTGTATTGTGTTGTATAATTGGTATTGATCCCATGGATATCGTCCTCAATTGGCTATGAGCAAAAAAATTCTAGTTACATAAATGTAAAACCCAAACAAAAATCATATCACTGTTGGGAATAGTAGTTAGTTTAGTTCATTTAATATGCACCCTATATTCATTGTGTGGGTGGTAGTTAAAAGGGGTTATAGAGGCACATAATATGCTCAGGGACTGAACCCTAAAATTAATTTAGCTTATTTACAGTCTTGATGAGCTAGTCACAAAATCTAATGTATATTGTTACATGAACACTGGGTTTGAGACCGACCACAAGTACAGTTTCCAAGTTAACCAATTTCATATGTGGAGAGCTAGTGTCATAGTTGATATGTTTATCCTGCACACTACCCCACAACCAAGGAATAGAAGATAGTCTATTATTAACAAGCTGAAACCGGTACTTTTATTTTGTTATTTTTCAGCATTTAATCGTGAAGAGTTTGATGCCTGGATGTCTCGAGCTGTGCCCCTCAGCATAGCTATTGGGGCTTTCTCTCTAGTCATCACAATAGCAGAAGCTCTCACGTCTGCAGTCTTTGAAGTGCGTGGCTGCCTTGACAAGTTTGGGGTCTTTAGCACAACTCTCATATACTCCCTTGCTGCAATCGGCATGTTTGGAGTCAGTTTGGTTAGTTGTACAGTAGTTTGTGTTTGGTTAGTGATAATCAGTGTTTGCAGAAGTTTGTATTCTGGAATGATGCTTATAGAAATTTTTTTATCCAATTATGCAGTCTCCGAGTTGTTCATGTTGCTAAATTTATCTAATTTTTGCAGAAATAGTATTAAGAACTAGTCATTTAGCCCTTCTTAATTTTTTTATTATTATTAAAATAGTTATATTTACATTGAGAATTATTTTCATGTTGAATATCGCAGTTATTCTTGTTCTTATTTAAACAGGTTCCGTATACTGTTTTAGACAGGCCAACAAATCAGCGTGTCTGGCCTATATTTCAAAATTTATATGAACACACTTCTGACCTGCAACTCACCTCTGCTTATGGACTCTTTCGTCGCATGACTGGAGTCGATGGAAGGCCAGAAGTAATACTGGAGGGTGCCAACAGCCTTGATGGACCTTGGACTGAATATGAATTTCCCTACAAGCCAGGAACCATTAACCGTATGCCTTCATTTGTAGGTGAGGGGTTTGGTACATACATTGTTGCTGAGGCTCTTTATACAAGCTGAAATATTTATGGTGACAGTACTGCATAAAACTAAAAGTTTACTTTTTTTTATCATTATTCCTTCACTGCCAATTTGCAAAATAATTTAAATTTTCTTATACCTGCTCATCCTTGTGTCATGACATCATTAACATGTTCTAAATTTCAGCTCCTCACCAGCCACGTGTGGACTGGCAGCTGTGGTTTGCTGCTCTGGGAACCTATAACCAGAACCCCTGGCTCATCTCTCTGGCCTACCGCCTTCTGTCTGGCCAACCTGAAGTCATTTCCTTGTTGGATCCTTCCTCAGCCTGGAGGAACTCTCCACCAAAATACATAAAAGCTTCAAAATACATATATCGCTACTCAGAATCTGCTAAAGAGTATGTAAATTCAAATATTAGAATTCTCTGCAAAATATATTAATTATTCATTCATTCATTACCATTATGTACTTCAGCTTCTCACTTTTATAAACTGGGAATGCATCAGGCTCGAAAATAAAAGTGAAGAATATAGTAAATGTAGGTTATAAATACAAAAAACCTAAGATGTCAATCATCTATTCATTATATCTTTGGCACCAATAGCAACACAGATAAACTAACCCCACCAGACTTCAGTAGTCATCCACAGCAGCATCACACTACTTCATAAGATTAGGTGAATTGTCATTTACAATACAAACAATTGCGTTCAATCCTTACAAACTGCTTCCACCATGTCTTGTTACTTACATGTGTCCCACAAATGTTAAATTATTATAGAGTTTATTCCTCACCACAAACACTCACTGCTGCCTTAACCCTTAAACTGCTCAGGGAAGCAAAAAATATTTGAATTATGTAAAAATTACTTAAAAATGTTAAACAAATCTCCAACTTATTGGCTTCAGCGTCATGAAACTTTCATAAAAATATTTTCAGAAATTGATTTTAGATAAATATTAAAAAAAAAGTTTGTTGATAAGGTGCCTCTCTGAGGGGGCCAGGTTCTGGCTTGTGGTCCCCAGTAGGCCTAAGAACCCCATTCGGTTGAGTGATGCCAGGGTCTAATACATTCATATCAGCCCTGTTAGCTCCGGTCTCACCCAGAAAATGGCGTTTCATTACATTCAACGTTGGTTTTTTATGTTCCAAAAATATTGGTTTGTTGAGGATTTTTTTTTGGTCCACGAGCACATGCCCCATTTATAGCATTTCACCAATGAGTAATCTCGTTCCACGTTCTGAACAAATGCTTTATGAACACCTTTTCACCATAGCCCACCATAGTTGCAGGGACTCCTTGTATTTACTGGTAATAATATTTATATGCATGATATTTCATCATTGTATGGATACAATATTTAACTTGTGTATGTTTAAATTAATATAATTTTGTACTTGATACCAGCAGTGACTCTGGAGCGTGGTGGAAACGTACACGAGAAGCGGACTACCTTCCCATCTTCACAGTGGACCATGCCCCCCTTGTAGAGTACTTGCGGAAGATTGGCACCATTGGTACCATGGATATACCAGCCACTAATCAGCCTCTACAGCAAGGATTAAATGCAATTAGAAATACTGTGAATACGCTTGACCCAGCACTTGTTCTGTGGGGTTTATTTTTGACGGCTTGTGCCATCATCTGGGCAAAAAGAAGCACAAAGCCAATTGTAGCGTATGCAACTTCTCGAAAAAAAGGAAGATGTTGAGCACTTGATGTGATGTAACATATCTAAAAATTATGTTAGACAATTCAGGAATATCATTGCATAATGAATATAGACATTTGTTTACATTTTCATCATATAGTATGCCACAGATTTGGTGGCGGTCATGGACTTTGGTGTGTTTGAGAAGTTGTGTGGTGAGTGATTCAATTTTTGGTTGTGCTCTAGTGCTTTCCGTTTCAACCTCCCCCTTTTATACAAATAATATTTCTGATAATACAAGCCAAAATTTAAAAAATTTTGGTAGCATTTGGGAGGAAACTAGTAAATAAGTTTAATCAGTAGAAAAAGAGATTACGTACAGCAATTTGCTAATCACAGATTTTTCTCCGAGCCTTGATTTTGTATAATCAACGTACTGGGTGGTCTGATTTTTGCTAGCAAATACTCAAAAGGCATGTTCAGTAATGAAAGGGTAGTAACATAAATAGCAAATTATGTGAAATTTTGAATAAGTAACATGCCTTAAATGTGGCTTCAAGACTTACCTGTGACAGTAAAGACTGACAAATGGGTTTTCTCATAGCTACTCTTGCTATGCCAGCTGAAGCCAGAGTGTTTCTACTGCCTTTAAAATATGATCAAAATATAATGCCTTTTATTTCCATTTAATGAATTAGGGCCCGTAGCTACACTTGTTATTTAGTTAGCAGTGAATGAAGTTATGAGAATTATTCTCACTGTGGAACATTTTTGCTTTAGCTTTTCCTAAAAAATTTAAACTTAACCCTTAAAATGCAGCTGTCATCAAAATTGTCACCCTGTTATGGGAGCCAGGACCTAACAAAAAAATATTTAGTTTATTCTTCAATACAGTATATTCCAAAGGTGTCTATGCAAAAGCAAAAAATAAATAAATATATATATACTATATATATATATATATATATATATATATATATATATATATATATATATATATATTATATAAGGGTTAATTTACATATAATAACAAAAATATTGCACAGTACAGTACTAACCTTATAAAAGTACAGTAATAAGTTTATGGTAAAATATAAAGTTTACAGTGACACTGCATGCTATTTTCATTTTGCTTTTTTGCATTACATTGAATTTTCTGCAAATCATGGTAAAATAACAAATTCATGTTATACTGTATCTCAATTTGCTCCAGATATAATTGATAATTTGTTGTTTAATTATACAGCACAGTAAAATGTTTAAAAATTATTGTAATAGAGATTACTAAGGATGTATAAACAGCATTTTAACAAAGTTTATGAAAGTGTCTTTAATCAGCAAATGATTTTGCATATATAAGAGAAACTGCAGTAATAGTAAATAAAGTTTAATAAACTTGCCTCATTGTTCCCAATTTAAAGTCAATGAAAACTCACTGAAAAATTTTATATGTAATTTTCATGCACAAGATGGTATGGATGTTAGCCATTTTCAAGTTACAGCAGCGCCTTGACGAAAGATGATTTTGCTGTACCAGCAGTTGTTGCATTGGCGAGAGAGCATGCTTTGATTAATGGAGTACAGGGTATATCATTGAGTAAATACTGTATTGTAAAGGGATATTTAATATTTATTACTTTTACAAGTATGAAAGGAATAGACATCAGATAATAATTCCACAAAATATTCTATGCAATAGTATAATTATTCTTATTGACATTTGACTCATCACATTAGCCTTTCCTTGTATTTATTAGGAATCCTCAAATATAAATATGATAACTATCAAAAGAAGGTACCATACCAGGAAGACTCAAATATAATTACCTCAACACTTGCTATTACCTGTGAGCACCGAAACCTTAACATAATCTCTAAGATCTTTAACTATGTGCTTTGTGTCAGGGCCAAATATACATTTACTAAACGTAAATCACACACTGCTTTGTGTGGTGTCATTAACTCCCTGAGATCTCATTAATGCTGGAAACATCATGTAGAAAACTTCTATTTACTACTATTTAATTATAAAACATTTTTTATGAGCAATTATTACAAAACTCATGATGAGAAAATTAAATGTTCCATGCTCTTAATTATGTTTTGCTGCAAGTAGTTAGTGTTAGTTGGCTATGTAAAAGTTCTTTGGGTGAAATGCACATTTTAAAATTACAGTTTACATTTATGGCACTTCAGAAATATAAATTATTAACATTTCTTATTGGTTACTATGCATTTAGGTTCTAGCATCTGGTGTAGAGCCAAAAATCTGTCATAAACAAATAGAGTATTGCATTTATTAAAGCAATTGCTTAAAGATTTTTTTAAAGTCTAAGCTTTATACAGTATAATTGAAAGATTTCCAAGTGACCTAGCCCTAAATTATGATGGAGAATTTTGTGTGGCTAGGCAACCTTAATATTAATTAACCTAGGCAATATTAATCCAGTGAAAACACAATACACAAGTGTGTCGGCCGTCTTTTGAAGAGTTTGTTATGAGGTTATGTTGCAAGTGCAGAGAATTATAAGACCTGATGTACAGCATTTGTGAATGAATTCTTTGTGCTGATTTGGTTATGATGAAAGTGAAATAGAAGAGAAAAACTAATGTAACACAGTTCAGGGTATGTTATTTAACTTTAGGGCAATTCAAGGTGGCTAAAATGTAGGATGGTGCCCTTAGTGGGTGATAGGTTATTGGTCGTTTATTTTCCCTCGAATATGTCTTCCTCTAGGCAATGGACTAAATAGTCATTTAAAAATGTGTGCTGTATTGAGAACAGACATACATGAGATATACTGAACTCAATCTCTAAATTACTAAATTTTAATAAAATTTACATAAATGGTGTTCCTTTATGAATTCATGGGTTCAGTTGTAACTGATACACAAACCAAAATTATACTGTTTAGTATTTTATATGCAAAGGAATTTCAGCTGGCCATATTTACTCACTGCTTATCTTTAACCTGCGTGGTACTGTAATGTGATAGAGATTTAGCTGCAGGGGTGCATGAAGCAGCAGCAGTACAGACATGGGGTGTTTGTATGACAGGTGCTTGAACAAGTCCCGGTAATAGCACACACCTATGATTTAAGGATATGGAACACTGGTATGACAGTAGCATGCACCCAGGATGTATGGATGTGGGATGTTGGTATGACAGGAGCATGAAGGGGTATGAGACACAATAGAGGTACAAATGAGAACCTGGTGTGACAGGTGCATGAAAATTGAGTTGTATCAGTAGAAATGGACATTGCTACATTTATGATGTTAGGAGGGTACAGTAATACAAATACAGCATAATGGAAAAAGGTAGAGTGAAAAAAAACTGTGAAAGGAAGATGGTCATATTTGTGTGTGAGGAAATTAATTAATCCTTAGCAAACACATTCTGTACATCTGTGTGCATGTGTCGGTAGAACAGGCAAGTTTCTGTATACAGTATGTAATGGCTATTTTCCGTCAACATTTTAATAAATATTTTTAAAAAATTAACCTAGACACACACTATAATAATTTAATATTTATGCCAAAATTTTAATGTCAATGTGCCAAACTGTTGCTAGTTTGTTAGATATTTTGTTTTTCATTAACAAGAATACTGTATTAGCAGAATTGTTTGTTTTTATATCGGCTGTGCTAGCAATTAATTCTAGGTGTAACAGTGAATGAGTGGTGCAGTTTTAGTGGAAGCAGATGTGATAAGGAAGTGATACAACTCTGATCTTCATGCTGCTTCAGTGTATAGTGTGGATAAAGTGGTGAATGTAGAGGTGTCACTTTTAGCATATTTAATCTTCCTATTTTGCTCCTCTCCACATACAAGTGCAAAACAGTGTAATGATGATGATTACAAAATCTTTCCTTTTCTTTTTCCCAACCAGGCTAATTTTGTAATTAAGAGTACTGCTGTGCTTTGTCCTTTGCTAGTGTGATATATGAAGATAATCAAGAGCCTCTTGCTTTTATCAGAGTGACTTAATAGTGTGTAAAGATGTCTTGAAATTGACTGTAAAATGTGAATGGTTCATTTGTCCTTAAACATTAAGATGAAATTTTTCATAGATATTTTTCGTTCGACTCCCGCCCTTAGCTTGTATGTTGACACTGGCTTCCTATCTCTCCGGGACCGCAGTGATCGCTACTGTCTTCGCTATCTTGCGTGGTCCTTGCAACATCCTTCCTCTTGCCTCTGTCGAGCTTTAACTTTTACCCCTCCTGTGGTTCCTGTTCCTCGTCACCACCTCCCTCTTTCTGTCCGGTTATCTCGCTTACAGGATTCTCTTTCACTTTGTATTTCTAATATTTCTCCTCGTGTTGTTCCTTCCTTGCCCCTGTGGAGAGTCCCCCTTCCGAAGTTTTGTACATCCTTGACCTGCATCACTAAAGCTTTTACACCTCTCACGGTTCTGAAACGCCTTTTCCTTGAGCACTTTTCTTCGCACTACCACTCCGTTTCCATCTTCCCCGATGGGTCCAAGTCTGCGGACGGTGTAGGCTACTCTGTTGTATTTCCTGACAGCACTTATATGTGTCGCCTACCTCTGGAGACTAGCATCTTCACAGCAGAATTTTATGCTATTCTCTATGCTCTTCGTCTCCTGCTTTCTCATTGTCAATCTTCCTTTGTAGTTGTCGTTGACTTGTAGGGCCCTCATGGCTCTCGGCTCCTTTAATCCGGTCCATCCAGTGGTTGTCGAGATTCAGCATTGGCCATTTCTTATTTCCAGTAAATTTAAGTCAGTTGAGTTTTGCTGGGTTCCCAGCCATATTGGTGTCTTTAAATGAGCGTGTGGATGCTGCCACTAGAGAAACTGTCTGCTCTTGTCCCATCTCCCGTAAAGGTATTCCTTATTCCTACTTTAACCCAGTTATTCATTCCTCCATCCTTACCCGTTGGCAGGATTGTTGGTCTTCTGTTACTGATAACAAACTGCGTACTCTTAAGAGAAATGTGTCCTCATGGCCGTCCTCCTACCACCACAAACGGCTCTGGCGAGGTTGCGTATTGGCCATCCACGCTTAACTCACGGTCACTTAATGGAACACCGCCCTGCTCCTTATTGTCCAAATTGCACTGTCCCTCTGTTAAATGTCGTGACTTCCAGGACGAGTGTGTGTCTTGCTTTCCGACCGTCCCTCGCGGTCGCTTGTCCCGAGATAGAATTCTTGGTGAATCGGATACTTTTGATATCATTCGCCTTATGCGTTTCTGTTCTTGTATTGGCATCCTTGGTGATATTTAGCGCCCTCTGATTATTCCGTACATTTGATGGTGCTACATAGCCTTCCCGGTTTGGTGCCTTCTTTTGATAATTACTTACTTTCATAGAGATATCTTTATTTTTTTGCATTACAAATTTACATAATGAGTACTAATCCGAATTTCCTTTGCTTATTCTTGCATCTCTATTGCCAAAACTGTGTGAGGTTGGCACCCAGAAGAAATGGTTTAGCCCAGTACAGATTTGTAACCAACATAACAGTGAGCTGCTCAGTACACAGAACAACACTCGTCAGCTGTGTGTGGCCACAGGGCTCAGCTTGGCCAGCACAGATTTCTCACTGCAGATTTTGACTCAAGATGCCTTACACATGTCAATATTTACTAACCATTTTAATGATTTTTGTCTATGGGTTGTCATCCCTGAAGGTGCTAATGTATTATATATAAAGAAAAATCTATAATGCCAAATTTTATTTTATTATTTGCATGATGTTTTATATTACCTTCTTGAATGTATTTGAAAACAAATGGAGTGTTTTCTTGATGTATTTTTCATATGTATTATGCCATATTAGTAAATCATATATTTTTTCAAAGTGACCTCACTTGCCTAGTCATGCAAGCACAAATGCTGAATGCAAGACTCATGTCTAGAACGACACTTAATAATATGTATCTGCAGCACTCTAAGTACTATAACAATAGAAAGCACCAAGTCACATTGTTATATAATCGGGTAAAAGAATTTCAAAGTTTGTTTGAATTTTTTTTTTTTTTTTACCTTTTAGTGACTATTGCATCTGTGGATTTGAAATGAAAATGTATTTTAATATTTGCTGTGTGTGTGTTATGTTGAGAAATAGTGAGATACTGTTTCTAGCCTACAGTAGGCAACAAATGGGTTTCAGGGGCCTAATGTGTTGGGCTAAGGCTTGATGGTACCAGAGCTAGGTTTGGGGATATTGTGAGACATTATAGCTTATTTATACCATAACAATCTGTGGGATATAATAGCTTAGTGATATTACAACATTCTGTGAGACACAGTAGCTTAGTGATATCACAACATTCTTTGGGACACAATAGTTTAATATTACCACATTCTTTGGGACGCAGTAGCTTAGCGATATCACATATTTTTGGTGTAATTGTAACTCATGTT